ACACTAGTCTCTCCCTCTGTACTGACCTCCCTCCTCTCTCCTCAGGGATATCTTGCGCAAGAACGGCACGGCAGCGGACGCGGCCATCGCAGGACTCCTGTGTATAGGAGTGACCAACACACAGTCTGCGGGTCTAGGAGGGGGGTTCCTCATGACCTACTATGAACAAGCTGCAAGCAAAGCGTACACACTCGATGCTCGGGAGGCCAGACCAAGTGGTGGCTCACTGGGTATGAATGATCTTATACATTTATATTTTGTGAGAGAATAACTGAAAAGCATAAATGTCAACTTCAAATTCAATTTCATTATGTATACTGATGTGGACAAAAGGGACGATGAGACAAGAGAGGTCACAAGTTGTTTACCCTGGGGCCCCCATAACAATTGGCCCTCCGGCCCTGTGTAAAAAAGAGAACGTTTCCCCCTCTTGATGTGTTACAGAAGACAAGGGGGGGGTGGAGGCACTTAAAGACATGATTAAGCTTCAGTCTCACACAAATAATCTGTCTCCAACATGTTTAAATCCCAATACTGTACTAATGTTTTGAGCGACACTTTTAGAGATGTAACAAGTTTTAATTTTGACCGTGAATATAATCTCGTTCTCTCTCTCAGGCGGGTCAGCCATCGCCGTGCCTGGAGCGTTACGTGGCTACCGTCAGCTGTATGAGAGGCTGGGAGGTGGGTTACCATGGGCCGAGCTGCTGCGCCCTACAATAAAACTATGTGAGGAGGGCCACCCTGTCAGCCCGCACCTCGCCCGAACTCTCAGGACCCACGCCGACACCATCCTCTCCCACCCTACCATGAGGTCTGCCTGAAGGTGTTGCAGCTTAATAGTATATACTGAATTAAATTCATACTAGTCCATGTTATTGTAAGTTGTTTTTCTTCTTCATCTCAGTGTTTCATCTTTTATTCCTCTTCTTTTTAGCTTTTTTCAATCCTTTTTACTTAATAGTTTTATCACCGCATCACCGAATAAGTAAACTTTTTCTCGACAAGCAACTTTTTTGGCAAGCGTTGCCTTCCTAAGACAAGCATATACGGTATTATTTATCTATCTATCTACCTATCTATCTATCTGTTATGTGTTCTCTTTATACGAGCAGTGTGTTCATCAACCCAACGACAGGGACGGTATACCAAGAGGGAGACATTGTGACACGCCCCCAGCTGGCCAACACCCTACGTCTCCTCCAGCAGGACAGTGATGCCCTTTATACGGGTCCTCTGGCAGAAAGTCTCACACAGGACATCCAGAACCTAGGAGGGACGCTCACCAAGGAAGACCTAAAACAGTACAGGTGATGTCGGCCTCAAAGTTGTTCCTTAAATAAAAACTGATAAACAACTTAATTGTCAAGGTATAATAACTAAATCATTACATACTAAATTTTCCGACAAAATACCTATTGAGACTTGGAGGTGGGGGGGGGGGCAATTTCTACCTCCGACTCCCCTTTAGCTACGCCACATTTGTCACAAAATCCACTAGTCACCGATACTTGCAAGATGCATACTTTCTAGTACTTGAGGTATATGATAAACTTATTCAGGTAGATGTTGCACTAAACACTTTTTTATGTGAATATCTTAATGTTTTGCCTTTAATAATAAATTATATGCCATACTTTACAGACCTGTGTGGAAGGACCCTGTGAGAGTGAACCTTCAACATGGTGGGTTCACCATGTACTCTTCACCATCACCTAGCTCGGGTCTCGTCTTGGGCTTCATCCTCAACGTTCTGGACGAGTACGGACTCACTCCTGACAGTTTAAATGACCAGAATGTCGTCCTGACCCACCATCGTGTGGCTGAGGCCATGAAATGGGCCTACCCCAAGGACACCACGTTGCGGAACTCCGTGAATGTAACGGAGGTAAACCAACAACTCATGATACTTTTAAGATAGATGTATTTTTTTTTTTTAGGTTTAGACTTGTGCTTTGAAGATTCTCGGGGCAAACGTGTGTAATAATAATAATAATAATAATAATAATAATAATAATAATAATAATAATAAAAATAATAATAATAACAATAATAATAATAATAATAATAATAATAATAATAATTAACGGTTTATTAAGATAAAATGGCAGCCCGAAGGCTGAAAATATACAAAGAACAAAGATGAAAAGTTACATATGGTGAAATCGGGGAGTGGGTCACTTGATTGACAAAAGCTTTCAATACAAAAATAAAAGAAACATAGAGGCCTTGGGGGCGAAAATGTAATAATAATAATAATAATAATAATAATAATAATAATAATAAAGAACCATAAAGAAATACAAAATGAAAAAAAATCAAAAGTGAGAAACAATATATGCATGTTGCGTTGTCAATATCAAGAGAAACAATTGAGACTCTGCAATTGTGTGTAAATGAGGCAGAAAGTCAGATCAGCAACCTGGGGCTTGGTCAGAATTTTCGTGATGCCATGTGGCAGCAGAGTCTACCATAGACAAACACATTATGCTTCCAATTTCTTCCCAGGCGGTAGTACCTCCCTGTTTGGTAGCTGCCTAATATCTACTACCTACTTAATTGTACGGACCCTTCTATATGTTAACACAGGTGAGCGCTCCGAGAGAACAGCCCTTATGGAATTTTTTTCTTGATACTGTATAGCATTGACATGGCAGCCATAAATAAGTGAGTCCAGTTTCTGGATGAGGGCCATCTCACAGAGCAAGTAGCCGGCTATACCTTCTTCTGGATGGGTGAGCCTGTCAATGAGTGCTATTCAATTTACGGAGTCAGCATTGTTAATCACCACACCATCTTACACCCATTAACGAAATACTCGTACCTGTCGGTATCAACGAGTGTCTCATGAAGTTTTGTGTTACACTGAACAACTCTTGGCATGTCTCCTTCATCAATGCTTACGCCCCAATGCTTAAAAACAGGATGATGTCAAGGAGGCCTTTTATGTCGGCCTTGATAAGCTGCCAACCTCTTCTCGGTTCTTACTGCATTTGAGACAAATCTGATATATACTTTCGGCGATATAATCATGTTGTTATTGTCGCATTGTCTGAGCCACATGCACAGCAGCTTTGTGTGTGCAGCGAATTTTAGTTTGAATGGCTTTACGGTAGATATGCATTGTTTAATAATTCGTAAACTTTTTTCTCTCAGCTTCCACAGTACATGACCTCTGATGCCTTTGCTGCTAGTATTCGACACCTGATTCAAGATGATAAGACCTTCAATGACTTAGGGCACTATGGAGCCGCCCCTGCTGGTAAGATTGACCCTGGCACTGCCCGCACTTTTCTAGATGACCCCGACAGTGCCCACATCTCCCAAGATGACTGTGGCATTGTCCAGTTCTCTCTGATGGCACCCAACGGTGACGCAGTCTCTGTAACCAGTGGCATTAACTCATGGTAAGAAGATCATTATATATCAAGAAGGTACTGAAACAAGAGGGGGGCGGGGGGGGGCAACATGTTCTTTGCTCCCACTCCCCTCCCTTGGATGTGGTCCCAATTGTTTCTGTTCTGTATAACAAAATTCAATTGACTTATGTCCGATGATAATACTTAACTGACTTGTGCTTATTCTGTTGTGTTGTACCTGTGTTGTATTTGCTGAATATATTGCTTTAGTCTCTTTTATTACATGTACATTACAGTACACTGATACCTGGTACAGTGGCTGGCGAGTTTTGTTGACGTCTTAGTATATTAAGATGAATGGGCAGTAGTAACCTCTTTATAGTGGCACATTGTTCCTCTTTATGTAAATTGAAATTAAATAAGAAATTTCAATATTCATAGGTTGAAGAGGATAGTCTATGTGAAACGATAATATAGTGATGTAGTTGTCCTTACACAACGACTTAGTGCAAATTTCCTCCCCAACCCCCAGTATATGCTCCCTTCCCCCCATTTCCCTGCCCCCTCCGTCTCCTTACGTCACACCGCCGTCACCACCACCCAATTTTTATCGGATGGTAGGCAATGACGTTATATCTGGTAATCAGAATTTAATCTGTAACTATACTGGAAATATCAACATTGTTAGATGGAGAAGTTCTTTCTTAACACCGTTACCTGACCGCTATAAAGAGGTTACTTCTGTCCATCCACCTCAATTTGCTATGTCAACAAAACTCAGGGGGTTGTACCTATATTGAGGTCTCTAAGTACCTAATTTGAACATGAAAATGAAGAGAAATGTGACATTTTCTCACTCAAGCCTAGGTGCCAGGGTCCGATCCCGACAGACTGGTCTCCTCCTGAATAATGTCGCGGCAGATTTACCTCACCACCGCTCGCCACCAGCCACTAGCTCCTCAGGTGGTCCCGCAGGTGAAATGCTCTTAATCAGATTCTTATGTTCATTTCCCAGAAGTTACTCAGAAAATAATAAGTTACGAAATTGGTTTTGCTACTTCAAATAACATTGCTATTCCAAGAAACTACTTTGAGATATGGATGATTTAAGCATATGAAATAATGTTGTGCTTCAGCCTCAATGCGATTACGAACGTTTTAGAAAATTTTCAATTAATATTTTTCTGCATCTATTCATTAATGTTCCATATGTCTTTCTCATTCTCCTTCCCTGCCTCTCCTAGATAAGTCCCACGTTTGTCACATGAGCCCTACAGTGTTCGTGGACGCAAGGGGGGACGTTCGCCTAGTCATCAGCGGAGCAGGAGAGGGTTGGGTAGCCTGGGCCGCCACCTGGATGGCTCTCCGCACTCTGTGGCTGGGGGAGAGAGTCACTCAAGCTGTTCACGCTCCAAGAATGCACCTGCGGATGCACCCTATGGCCATCCTTTACGAGGAAGGACTCTCACCGGTATGTGTATATTATGTGAAGAACTATTTTAAATGAGGCAAGTGTTAATGCATCTTGTAACCTTATGGTAACAAGTAGGGTGTTATCTTCAACCACTTAGTACAGTATAGTTTTGTAAGTGACTCAGTAAATACAATTTACAATCTTCCTTTGTTATTATTGATAGTTAAAGTGTCATTTACTTGAAGTATGACTAATGGTTTGTAAAAATGGTTCCTTATAAATATAAAAACTTCTCACAGGAAATCGTTGCTGGTTTACACGCCAAGGGCCACAATATGGAGAAGCAGAGTGAAAATTCCGCCATTTATGCAGTTGCCAGGGAGAATGGCAGAAGGATTCATGCAGTGGCAGACTTCAGAAGAGGAGGCGCAACTGATGGATTCTAATACGATGATCAGCTAAAGTTTATATAAAAAATCTAACCTTTATTTTTTTTAATATTTACAAAAGAATCCTATCGTATCGTTGTTTCCCGGAAACTTAATATTCATAATTTCAAACTACAGTATAGCGTCAACGCTTACCCCAGAACACATTAGCATGGATAAATAACATTAAAATTGTATTTTCTTTGTTTCTCAAACCTCTCCACCTTGGGTGACCATTGATTAATTGCCTGGTTTGTGTCTTACAGGAGGTGGGGAAGAGATAGATCCAGTCTGTGTGGCTTATAAGTGGCGGCGTGGACTACTATGTAGAATGCACCCTTTATAATTTTACATGTATACATAATGCTCTATATTAAATAATTCTTCTGTATTGATACGAATCTCGTATTGATCTCAAATTAATTTTACTGTGACAGCAGATAATTTATTTATTGATGCACATGTATTATTGGAGCCCAAATCAAGATGAATCAACACTATTTTTTTATGTATCATCTCTTTGTTCATCTTACCTCTTATGGCAGTGCTGTGTACATGAAATATTTCATGGACATTTTAACAGTAATACTTATGCGTCTCTGATATGACAGGTATTTATAGTTCTCTAAGTGTGTACCTACTGTATAGTCACTTTTGTATAGTTCACTCACTAAACATGTTTGTACCAAAGATGAAATTTCCACACATTCTAGTATTGGAATAAAATACAATGTATTTACAGAACAAATTTATTTGATGGAAACATCAGTTGTGTACCTTTATCTAAACTTAAAATGTGTGTTTGTGTAGGAAAGTGTCTGCATGCGTTTGTTTGTTTGTTTGTCTGTCTGTTCGTAGTCTCTGGCTATAGTTTTGAAGATGGCGAGCTTAAATTTGGCACAGGGATGCACCCACTCCAAAAGTGTTCGGTAGGTGGGATTATGGGATTGGACCCGTAGAGGCCGAGCCCCCACCCACAGAGAAGGACCCCTCTTTGAAAATGCGTGACTTAACTCAATATGAGTCTGTTGATTATTCTGTCGTCTGCTTAGAGTCTAGTAGTAAAAAAAATTGTTGACAGAGGAAAGTCCTTTAAACAAGGAATACGAGGTGGCCAAGTATATCATGAGGAGCACCAGAGGTACTGGTAGTATAATCGTAACGCTCATATCTCTCAACGCTGTCATGGGTTCCAGTCCTGCTTGGCTCAGACACGTGAGAAGGATGTTTGACACGTAAGAAGGATGTTTGTAAGAAGGATGTTATCCAGTGTGACTACCAAACATCAAAGGTTTCCTCCGGGTGCTCCGGTGTCCTCCTGTACTAACACTGGACAGACCAATCGCCTGAATGACTTTGTAATCTGGTAAGTGGTGAAAGGACACTATTAAGAAGTACAGGTTGTGTCCTATCAGTCAAAAAATGGTGTGATGCAGCTAAGAATAGGTCATGTGACGCTATAATGTTTAATGGTCAATTTCTCGGTACTTTGCCAATGTCAATGATAAAACGTCGTGATGGGAGACAAAAAGTTGATTCGCATGATATGTTAACCTTAAGTCACGTTGTGGATCTTCAAGTTGGTTGTATCTTTCCAAGTGATTCTTGCTTGTGAATGATGTGTTCAAGAGATTTTAATGGAATATAGGTGAGTAATGGTTAAGTTCTGTCTGCAGCCTTGGAAAGGAGAATTGTTTTTTCTGCAAAGCTAGTCAGGAGGTAACGAGTAGGTAAGAATGGTGTAAAAGGATTGCGGTTGGTAGTGGTTTCTTTTGTGCCCTCTGACTGAAACCGCATATTGAGTGGCGAGGCTTCGTGTTTAATTGCGGATATAGGGTTGCAGGTTGGGGGTTATGTGGGTTGAGGAAAGGTAAGGGTGTCAGCCTTGTCGAGAGGTGTTGTGCTGGGGGGAGGGGTGGGGGATGTGGCAAAGGAGAGTTGGGAAAGAAGAATAGTCCCTAACCAGAATCACAGGGACCCCACAACAGAACATGCAGAAGTGATAACAGAATAACCACCCCCCCAAAAAAAAAATAAAAAAAATAAAATATATATATATATATATATATATATATATATATATATATATATATATATATATATATATATATATATATATATATATATATATATATATATATATATATATATATATATATATACTGTATATGAATATGATTCGTATGTATTAATTGTTACAAGTTAGCAAAATATTTTCAACGGACTGTTCATTACTTGAAATATACTGGCCGTGATGCCTAATCTTCGGTTAATCCTTTCAATTATTATCATACACCCAGTATCTACTAACAGTGTGCAACATAGAACTGGATAACCATTCTACTGCTCTCAAGAGTCTATTAAGTCACGGGAAAAAGCGAGTCGTTAGTGATATTATTGGCTAGGAATATTCACTGTCTTCTCGCCCAGTCAGATCATTCGCTGGCAGTACAGTCAGTGACGTACTGTAGACAGGGAACAGGTGTAGACTGTAGTGAGTGTGTAATGTAATTGGAGATGCAATGCGAATAGGTGATAGATGTACAGCAGGTGTTGAGCACCCACACCACCTTGGCTGCACCTGCTGAGAGCCACAACACATGCTGGTAGGTCGGGGTGTTGCAGTGTCTGTTGGTGTTGCCTGGAGTGTAGGTGTTGTAAAGGGTTTCACTGAAAGTTGTTGGTGTTAAAAAAGCTTCTTGTTTGACGTATGTGTTAGGTAGGTTGGACGATGCCTTGCAGTGTAGTGTGTCATCATGTAGGTGGGAGTGGCTCTTTGAACCAGTTAATGTTAGTCTCTTGGGCTGCACGACGAGTGTTTGAAGGTGGGGACTAGTGTGCAGGTAGGTACAATGGTTGCTGTCGAAGGCTGAATTACTCAGAATAGGCAAACTATACCTCAAGCTTTGTCAATAAATTTAAACTAAAAAAAACCTAAGTAGTGAAGTAAGTTGGGGTCCTTTTCGTTAACCACCCATCACATTTTTTCACATGAAAAATATATTTTTTCGCTAGTTTTCTTGCTGTTTTAGATGATTCTGACATTTATCTTTGGGGCAAATAATTTTTTGGGTGAACGTATAGTATCACACCGGTCTTTATTTTCGTATTAAAAATGTGTATCTCATAATGTTTACACAATTCTAAGACATTTTTCTTCTGTGAGATTTCCACCGGAAATTGAGGATAACCGAGATAATAATTTTTCAAGATTATTACTTTCGCTGAGTCACGTGACTTGTTTACTTATGGCAGAGGTGGTCTAACCCCCTGCTCATGCATCGCTCCAGGCCTCCGTCTTCGCTCTTTAAGCGACTGGGGCATGAACAACGGGTTAGGTTAGGTTTTCTTGGTTGGTAATATAATTTATTTATTGTAAAAAAGAAATCCAACTTTTTCCATTATGATTGTTGGGTTGTGGGGGGAGAGGGTATAAAAAAAACGTTATTTCCGGAGGAAATGAATATCAAATTCGTTCGAAACTCATCAAAATACATAGGAAAAACCTATTTTTAATATCGTTATAAAGACCGGTGTGATACTGTAAATTGTCCCGGTTTTTTTTAACATAACATAAGAATGGAGGAAACTGCAGCGGGCCTATTGGCCCATACTGGGCAGTCCCATTTACACCCAACCCCTATTGCTCATATAAGCATCCATCCTATGTTTGAAGCTATCCAGCGTATTCAAGTTAATGATGATATTTGGTAACTTGTTCCATTCATCCACTACTCTGTTTCCACACCAGTGTTTACCTATTTCACGCCTAAATCTAAATTTATTTAATTTAAAACCATTGTTACGAGTTCGCTCCTGGTTGGATAGTTTGAGTACCGTTAGGTTATGTTGGTTGGTTGCTTTGGTATGAGAATAGTTTATTTTAGGTGTGTTTTACTCAAATTTGACCTCCATTTTTGTGCAAATTTGTGGTTTCTGTTAAAATGAAAATTTAATTTTTAAAAAAAATAAAAAAAATAAAAAATATTTGCACAAAAAAATGAAGGTCAGATTAAAGCAAAACACCAAAAATAACCTATTCCCATGCCAAAGGAACCAACCAACCAACCAAACCTAACCTAAGCTAACCTAACCAAAAAAAAAACTAAGTGATTTGCCCCAAAGATAAATGTCAGAATCATTTAAAAAAAGCAAGAAAACTAGCCAGTGTGTATGGAGATTTGAATATTGCAACACAATACAGTACGTACTGTACTTTATTCAATTTGCAGTACATTTGATTGCTTAAAGTCATTTACTACCCATTAAGCCTATAGTTTCAACTACTAATATGCTTACTAAACAAAAATACACTAAGGTACAGAGGGAATGCCTGTGACGAACTGATGTACAGTATACAGTCCAGTATTGTTGCTACCAAGACCAAATAAAATGATAGGGGGAGCATCCAGTAACCCAACTGACACTATTGTCAGCCATCAACATTGAAGTTTTTATCTTAGAAATTAGAGTTTATTTCCAATGCTCTTTTGCAAAAAAAAAATAATAATAATAATAATAATAATGTGAAAAACCTTAAGAAGTCAGAACTGTGATATGGTATTATAGTCTTCCTTATGTGGCTACTAGCTAAAGGGTTAAAATGACCCAGCCACTAAAATAGCTTATGAAATGTGTTCAATTAAACAAAAATACTATAAGCGTATCTCCAGCAAACCATAAAAAAAATTTCAACTTGTAGTCAGAAGCACTAAAAGTAAATTTTTGTTTTTCTTTAAGTAGTTTGAGTTAATTAATATATTGTACCTTACTTGTTTCACAGATATATGCAACTTACAGGTATCAAGTATATTAGAAAGTGAAGCAGAAAATGATAGAGGGAGCATCACCAGTGACTCAGGCCCTCCTGGGTACCCTCTTTACTTGGGGTCTCACAGCAGCTGGCTCTGCTGTTGTCTTTCTGCTGTCGGGAACACAGGTTCGTTTCAAAACCAGAGTGAAACTTTTAATTTACTCAACTGTGTCACTATTTATGATACAGTATTATCAGGATTATATAACTGTGCCAGCATGCCTTGAGAGTTCTAAATGTTGGCCAAATTTGAAAATTAGATTAATATCCACTCTCATTTTGGACTCCATAAGAATAATGCTTATTGTGAAGGTACATACCTTAAAAGGGAGAAGTCTGAGGATTTTTTGTTGGTGAGCATAAGCATGTCTGCTCTGATTCACTTTTATTTAACATTAGCTACAAATGATGTCTTAGGGACCACTACAGCAGTACAGTACTTCAGATCAGTCTCACCTCTACACACAGAGAGAGGACACACTTGATTCTCAGACATGGTTTTAGACACAATTCTGAGAGTTAGTTTTACATTTAACATGTGTATGGTATAGTTTCCTGCTCAAGTGCTTTTTATGAATTTAATGTTCCTTATACTGCACTGTATTATCAAGTGTTTATTTTTCTAGAGAAAAGTTTTAGATGGCAGCTTGGGGTTTGCTGCAGGTGTCATGACAGCAGCATCCTTTTGGTCACTCTTGGCACCTGCTATTGAACTGGCAGAGACATCCGGCTCTTATGGCGAAAATGGGGAGTGGGCCTTTTTCCCTGTTGCTGTTGGCTTTCTCTTCGGTGCCTTATTTGTGTATGCTGCCGATGTGTTCATGAGCTCAATTGGGATCCAGTCACCAAATTTAATTTTAGGTAAAGGACATTTTTTTCATATTTTAGGAAAGGAAAGAACTATTTTACTGTATATAGTACTAACATCCTTATCACACCAATTCGGACCATATTGTCATGTTGATGTTTTTTAGGGCCATGCCCTCAGACCCGCCTTTAGATTTTAGGGCCATGCCTTCAGACCCGCCTTTAGATTGTTTTATGCCAATAGCATATACATCAGTCTTTTTTTGTTTTTTAAGCCTTCATTTTATGGTACTATTTTGTAATTGTCTAACCTTTTAGTACACAAGGAGATTCTTTCATGTTTTCCAATTGTATTTTTACATCCACTAAAACAAACCATTGAAAATGTTCTAACTGTTGACATTTTATATTAATGCCCCAGCCCAAAGAGACACTAAGAAAACTGATGGGGACAACGGTTACACCCGTCACTCTGTGTACTACTCTCAACAGTCTGGTAAGTTGTTCTCCAATTTTTGTATCGTACAGTGCTATTTAATTTGAGCTTCAGTTTGCTCTATTTATAAATAAATTTTTGCCGGAAGACTTGTTTATCTTGTAATATGGAACTGTACTGTATGTACCAGGTGTTATTCTTCAGTATTCTCCCAGTTACATACACAGTAATGTAGAATTTTGTGGATGTGATTCCTTTACATTAACTATAGAAGGAGTTGGGGTTTTATCCTGATCACGTACATGTGTATTGTACAATACTGTATGTACTGTATTTGGTCAGCTGGATCATGCCCTCACCATGACACCCAAAAACATTAGCATAACTTCAACATTGCAGTGTTGGCATCATGTGCTATAAGTCACTCAGGACAGTTGTAAGGTTTTAAGTAGAAGATTGATCATAAAGTGCCTAAGAAACCATTCCTTCTCTCAAGGGTATGGTATAAGGTGGATTATACTGAAGAGCTCACTGACTGAGAGATTCCTTGTTACGTGCACTGGTGCATGGCACATAAATGGCAAGACACAATAGCTTTTGTGTGTATGATGAAAACAGCAGTCTCTGAGCACCTTTATTTAAGGCTATGGTTTTACTTAGAAGGCATAACTAATTATAAAGCACCTAGTCACTTTTTCATAGTGGGTTATCATTATATTTTTGAGCTACACAATTTATGTCTCGCAACAGTCTCAGTTGTTAAAGGGGATTTGTTGGTAAATTTTCCATTTTATTTTTATTTTATATATTTTTTTTAGAGAAAATTCTTTATACGGTTACTCGCAATTTTGGGGTTGTGACCCCCAAGTGAGAAGAGTTAACTTAGCACAAGGAATTGATTAACTGGTAGCCAGCACAGTACACACCATAGCAGAAAAATGCCTCATCAATCCTGTCTGGTTCCAGGTGTGAACCCATAGGTTTAGAGGCCAGAGTGCTGCCAACCATTTCATGGATCCCCTATTTTTTTTATTATGTACAGTATTAATTAATTTGTTTGATTTTATTAGTTAAAATATATAACTACAGTATCCACATTCTCTCAGTATTGTAGTTGTAGTGTGAGTACTGTATTGTATTTCCCTTTTTTGTATTTTCCTTATGCCTCTGTTTAGTTTGTTTTGTTTTGTTTCCCTTATTTCTCCTCCCAAAGACTTTGATATCATGGAGCTAAACTTATTTGTTTTTGTAGAGTCATATGCATCACCCTATGTGGAATGTTGGAAATATCTCACATGAGATTAAAAACAAATGATAAAGTAACTTTTTTCAAGTGTAGACATCCATAGCATTACATTTATCTAATTACAGTAGATAAGTAACTCAACATGTTCTTTATTGATGAAATACTTGCTGTACCTCTTTATGTAAGCAAAAAACTTGATCTTTCTTCAGATATCAGTGAAGTAGGGCAAGGCTCCCGTGCCAATGCTTTCACCTCAATCGACTTCAGTATGTATAATTTTATCTAAATTTGTATAATACTTTTTTCTTTTTAATTTAATTTTATTTCACTCGGTGCCCTCTCTGAGCAACCTACATCTTAAAGCTTAAGTCCATGAATTGAAACCTGAAGTACACCTTGAAACATGAGAGGCTTGGACTAATTCATCAGTTTATTAGATCTTTCCATCTTAGCCAAGTCCCTGAAATGGAATCTTTCGAGACAATGCCACTATTTATAGTAAAAGACAATGAGATGTAACCCAGTTGACAGTTCAAGATACACACAAGCTGATGTGACATCATGGCTCTTTGCATTCTTCTTTAAATGGTGACTGCTGTTTCCAGAGATCACTTTTCTGCTGCTTGGTTATGACAGGGAGGCATAGCTTGTTAATTAATTTGTCCCAGCCTTTAATACATTAAAGTATACTTTGTTTTTTTATTCAGGGATATATTGCTATAATATACAAGTTGCTTAGTCGAGGCACACTTTTTAAAAGGGGTATCAGAATCATTCCTTTGTGTTGTGAATTACCAAAAAGTTGGAAGACATACCTCAAGAGAAAATGGGACCATTAATCTTGTTGTAAGCTATAGCTGAGTGCATAACTTAATAGGCTTATGGGTCCATTTGCCTATGTACTGTATTGTTACCTATCACATTATGCTTATTAGAATGCCAAAAGAATTTCTCTTTGCGTGTAATAACACCCATGTGCTTATTGATTGGAGCAAGCTTTAACGAATGGTAAGTTGTAAAATGTCAGCACCATACCAAAGTTTCTCTTTTTATTATTAAAAGAATATATAAATATCTATGTCTACAAAAATGGTTCCCAAAATAATGAGATGATGTTGATTGATAAACAAAAAGCCTCTAAGTGGTTTTTTTTGTATTAGCCGTTTAGTATGAAAACAAAAACTGTTTCCTGATAGACTGTTATCCCAACTGTACTTGTAGGGCTTTTGGGGAATTGTAATGTTTCAGTATATTTAAGTTCTTAAATTTTGTAGATTAGTGAAATATGTAATGAGAGTGTTACTACAGTAATGGAAGCCTGTATGTACAGTCACTAAAAAAATATTCTTGACCCATCTGGTAGCATCTGAGAAAACATAAACATAAATAAAGGCCAACAATTATGCATCAAGGTAAAACTTTGCTGTGCCTTGTTTTATTGAATACAGGATAGGGGACTGAAACATTGTAGCAAGATCTGAATGTTTGTGCGAGTACAGTAGTGCTACCAGACATGTCCAGAGTGCTGTATTTTGTTGGCAAATGTACATAAATAGAATACTATGACCTATTAGAGCCAACTTTAATTAAATTCTATGAAGGGAAAATTTTATCATGCTACTGTAGTTTTGAATTTAAATATTTGCTGAATGTATGAACATAGAGAAAGCTAGTAATAGACTCAGTATACTGTAAGTGGACTGCTTCTTCCTGTTTGTCCAACCCCCTCACCTCTGGTGCATCTTTCATCCCATACTACCATCCTCTTCTGCTTTATATACCCATTCTGTTTTTGCTACAATTCTTACAGTAATTACCAAATACTTTCTGTAGCATAATCAATGGACTTATATCTGTACAGTTTTCACATTCATTCATATCACCTCTCCATTTTTATAAGGAAATTATACCTGCTCTTGTTATATATATATATATATATATATATATATATATATATATATATATATATATATATATATATATATATATATATATATATATATATATATATATATATATATATATATATATATATATATACACTGTAGCCTGTTCACTCTTGTCATTTATTCTGTCATTTTATAATATGATAAATGGGTATACAGTATATGGAAGGTGATGGAGAGTAGGTAGGGGTTATATTGTAATAGTTCAGAATAGAGAGAACAGGTTAAAGAGCTCAACCTGTAGCTGAGGACTACATAACACAATCACCAAAAAGTGACCTGGAAATACCATATGTGGCGAGTAATTAGCATTGCAAAAGTAATTACAAATTTGCAGATATCATTTTGACAAGTAATTACACGTATACAGATATCAAACTGTGGATGACAGATCTTAATCAGCATGTTCAGGAGTACATACTGTATATCGATATATTTTTTTTTTTTAATTATCTAAGAATTGAAATTTAATATCTAACTACAGTACTCAAGTACATCCAAAATAACACATAAGCACCAAAAAGTGACCTTGAAAAACCATAGGTGGCAAGCAGGGGCCTAGATCCTTGGGGGGGGGGGAGATATACATCCCCCTCTACAATCAAATTGTAATAAGGTATTTCTTATATAATGTAATTCTTAATAAAACCATTGCATTTCCAATTTTCCAAGCTTAGGTCAAACTTCCCACTTATTGGAGCATGTGTCTCTAGCTGAATTCGAGGGGAATGCTTTGAGATTGTGAGTATTCATTGCTGGCTGATTCCACCATTTTGAAGAGACATCTAATGAAAATGCAGAGATAAAAAAAATAAATAAATATAGTTAATTTTGTGCGAGAGGTGTCCAGGCGCCAACGCTATTAGTAAGTTCGTGTTATTATATTTATTTTTCATAGTTTTAAGCACAAAAGTAATTAGTGGGTGTTTATCTTGGTAATTTAAGTATTTTAGTTTGCAATAATAACAAGCTTATATTAAAAAATTCGTGGATTGGGGGTTAAGGAAATTTTATGGTTTGTCAAGTTTTGTCCATTGTACCTTGGCTTACCAGAATTATATTCTTTTGTATTGTACAACATTTGCAAAATAATAGAATAAATTCTTTCTTATTTTTGTAGCTTCTTTTCATAGTCTAATAAACATGCTTAATGATGTCTAGTTTTATAGTTACAGAATACAGTGGTCCCTCCATTAACTAGCACAATTGGTTCCACAGAGTCACTCGTTAACTGAAAATCTCGTTACCTGAATTTATTAATTCAATGGTTTATTGGGTAATTGGTTCCAACTCACAGAATTCCCTTTAAATTAATTAAAAAGTGCATACAAAGAACTGTATCCCAGTAATAGAATTCACAAAACATTAAATATAAACAAAGTAATTGTAGACACAGTTGATGACGACATGCCATATTCTTTACAGAGTGCATTGGTTCTAATGCCTTCTTCGTATTTCTTAATAATTTCTTGTTTCACTTGAATTGAAATCGCCTTTCGATATTTTTTTGAACCCCTGCTTGATAATTTCACCAATAAAATTTTAAGTTCACAACAATTTATTTTACTAATTCCAATTTTTTTTTATTTAAACCAACACTGCACTGTATATATTATCAATATGCTAACCAAATTTCAGAATAACCAATAATTTTAATGTAAAAATGCAAAAATATTCAAGAGCACAACTTTTTCGATGTTTACTCCACTGGAACAAAGCTATAAACAGTGAACCGATTATTGGCAGACGAGTCCATCAGCTGATGCTCGCACCAGAACGTTTTTCTCATAAAGCTGTCGTTAATAGAATTTTTACTTGTTAATAGAACTGAAAGTCCTTACGGGAGGTAACTCATTAACTGAAATCTCGTAGATTGAACCGCCCTTTAATGGAGGCTCCACTGTACTGTATACTTGTATACATAGAAATACTGTATATATGTATAAATAATATCTCCGTTAGCCGGAATCCCTCAAACCCAAAACTCTCCGATAGCTGGAATTTAAATTTTCTCGGAAAATTGTTACCAAAGCTGGAATTTTCTGGAAAATTCCAGCTTTGGGAAAGATTTTCCGAGGGGCACATTTTCCGGAAAATTCTGAGAAAATTTTCCCTATACAGTACCTGGAAAATTCCAGGGATGGGGATATTTTCCAGAGTTTGAGAGATGATGTAATGGGCAATTTATGGAATTTCCGAGAAAATTTTTCTGTTATCCGGAAAATTCCAGGGATGAGGGATTTTTTCTGGGTTTGAGAGATGATATAATGAGCAATTTATGAAAGTTACGAGAACATTTTTATGTTACCTGTAAATTTCCGGGGATGGGGGATTTTTTTCGGCTTTGAGAGAGTTGTCTCGTTACCCGGAAATCTCTCATTCCCGGAAGTGCTCTGCACCAATTGCTCCAGCTAACGGAAATATCACTTGTACTTCATTTACATGTCTCGGAAGTCATCCCCACCTTCAGTCACAACAAATCTATGCCAGTGGTGCAAACATATTTGTAAATTCAGTCAAGAGTATTAGAGTGTTTAAGTGAAATCGGTTATATTTTTAGTCGTGCAGCCGAACTCCTCTTGTAATGTAAATTTGGCAATTGCAGACTTAGTCAAGCAGAGAAGGGGAGATGGAGGAGACAGGATGTCTCCAACAGATGAGATGATGAAGAGAATCGTCAAAAAATGCAAAATGAATTTCTTCAGTGGAGGAGAATACTGTTGCTTATCATTGCAATCACTGTGCACAACATCCCTGGTAATTATTGAATAAAGTTTACATTGTTTTTTTGTTTTGTTCATGTACAGTACAGTATTATATTCTTACCTCTAGCTGTTATGTTTAGAGAGTTGGAAGGAACAATACAGTACAGTATATCCATAAACAGGTACTGTGATACTACATACAAAATTAAAAGTATAATTATTTTTAACCCCCATGTGTTCTCTCTCTGCTGAATAAACTGATCTAATATTAGCCAATTAAAATATTAAAAAGTGGCAACCCCATAGTGAAGGGGTTAAGAGGTAAGCATGCTCTTGTTTATTTGGAAGTGAAATTTGATTCTTAACTGATGCCCTCTGTCAGTCAGCTCATGTTACTCTGTATGCCTGAGATGGGGATGATCCATCATCCTCAAATGAGAGAGGCTAGATGCAAAGGTTACACTCTTGAACCAGGAGGTCCTATTAATTCCGTTATCCACCCAGTCTGTACACATACCTGCCAAGCTGTACATGTCTTGATTCCAGGACTGAACCTCCATTTTGGATCCATTTAGTCCCTAGCTGACAAGCACCACAAACAGCCACACTTACACCTGCATTGCTGTCTGCATTATTTTAACATTTTACATTATCATGAACATAATGTAATTGAAAGTATTATTATAAAGTTAAGAGATATTTTTACTTATACAGCAGAGGTTATGTTCTTAAATATCTCTGTGAACCTCAAATCCACAAAATGAAAACTTAAGGGGTACAGTATTGGGAAAAATTGCTTTATGGACTTTACCCTTATAAGTTGTGACTCTCTCTCTCTTTTAAACTGTACCCTGAATCAAGGTTTGTGGATATTTTGTGGTATTTATTTTCAAGAAAAAAGTGAGAACATAAAGTTTATTATCCTGAAAAAAAAGTTACTGGTAATATGATCATGAACTTTACCCTTAACCCCTAGGCTTGGCTCATGTAATATGACGTTTTGTAATTTCATGGTACAGGTATACTACTTGAATTGCCACCTGAGCCTGGCTAGATTATGTTGCCAAGTAGGCATTTATCTTTTGTTTGCTCACACATCCCAGTCTCCATTCTTAGTAGCTTCTCAGCTTTTGTGATATAGGGATTTCATCCTTGGATTTCATGTGCCTCACCATGTGTTTCTAACCCCCTTCCCCCACCCACTACCCCAAGCACAAATGTAGTAGAGGACTCTTGACCATCAGTAGATTCATGATCAATTACTGGAGGCAATAATAATAATAATAATAAAAATAATAATAATAATTTAAATAGCTATAACATAATAACACAAGTGTCCTGTACCTTATACTCTCTCTACTGCCAACCTCACCCCACTGCCTCACACACGTACCACTTCACTCACATTTTCGGCTCCTCCCCATTTGATGACAACTTGTGGTAGGAACATGTATTTATTTACTGCTTATACAGTATCATGCATTGCCAGTTTGTAAATTTAATTTATTTTTATTTTTTAATTTTCCTGAATACCTGTATAGTACCCACTTGGGGGGGATGCCTACTATAGCCTAGTGCCTTAGGGTTAATGTTAATGATGATAAGTTTATCCAATAATGTGATGTTGAGGGTGACAATAAAGATGAGTTGATGGAGGTAAAATTCTTGAGACCTGCTTAGCTACAAGGTTTACCAGAAAACAGGTTTTTGCATTTTTCCTCTAAGTCTCAGAAGGAACTTGTGAATTGTTCTGAGTTGTAGTTTTCTTCAGGAGCACACCTCCTGCAGAAGCCTTAAGTTTATTATTTATGTTTCTCTTGCTCTTCCAGTATATTAATAGTTATATTTAGTAAATAAAAGATGCTACTGTACATTATATGTATTATTAGACTTAAAATTGTCTTCATTTTCTGCAGAGGGCCTTGCAGTTGGAGTGGGATTTGGTGCTATAGGTAAAACTCCACTTTCAACATTCAATAAGGCCAAGTAAGTTTCTTTTATAACCTCTAGGGCATCAAAGAGTGATCTTTGAGATCCATAGTATTAAATCTTCCATGGCAGAGCCCTTCTATTGCCTGATGACCTTGGTAAGAAAAAGGCAAGATATGTTTTCCACATAGAAGAGGTGGTTGGAAATTTTTTGGCAAGCATCATTTTTCACCCAGCCAAACCAGGGATGAAAAGTTTTGTCTTATTTGATCATGTTGACTCAAGGTCCAGCAAGGCTTCAGGCCAGAGAGTAGAATCCGTATCAGTCTTGCAAATTTCAAACCCCTTTCAGTCATAAAAAGTAGTAATTCTCCTGCCCACACAGTTCCTAGTTGTGTTGCCAAACTGACAACAGCTCTTTCATGTTACATAGGCAGTATTGAAATTCCAGCAGTATCTTGTAGTGGATCATCATAGAGGATAAGTGTTGTACTCACCTTACACTTATAGTATGTGTTACACAGAAAGTTATCTTTTTTAATGCAAAATTATGTTGTATTCACTGTTTATGTATTATATAGTTAATTTGCCTGTGTCATAGTGGATACTTGACACTGATAAGAAGGGAGTTAACGTATTCCTTGAGTATCAGCTTAGGCCATGGCAACATGTTTCAGCAGTCAGTTGCCACTCACGGCTCTGTGCTCTTTGGGGACCACTACTCGACTTTGTAATTAATTTTTGGTAACATCAACTTAAAACTATGGAGACTACAATTTAGGAAATTGGATTTGAAGTTTTATTCCATAAGTCATAGTATACAATATAATTCAAGAGTAATTTTTGTGAAACATATTATGACCTTAGATAACTGGAATGCATGGGGAATTGAGTGTGCTGGATAATCGTTTTTTTTTCTGGATGTTTGAGAGTTAGTCCTATGCTGTAAATACACATCTCAAACTCAAGAACATCGCCATAGTAAATATATTATAAAAGGAATAAAGGGGCTGTACTCACTCTTTATGTGGCACTGCAGTGGTGTGTGTAATCCTATTTTACAGTTGCAGATACAGTTACCGTACTTGTTGAGCTTGAGTAAATATGATTACAGTAATCACTTAATTCATTACTCTTTTTCAGGCTTCTTAAGTTACTTAAGATTATACTTAAAACAAATTTTCTTCATTAAGGGCACTGTAATGGTGTCACCCAGTGTGTTGGCCAACACGGAGGGCTCTGCGCCGCACAGCACCTTTAGTGGCCAGAAATGGAACCATGGGCAAAGCAGTGCCAAATTCAAATCATTTTTTCTTTTTTTTTTTTTAAATATGATTAGACATTACTTACTGGAAATTGACCCCACCCAAAAAAGATCCGGTTGCTTGAGTTCCAAATGGTTAATTGCTTGATGTCTGAGGTCTTATTGTAATATATTCACATTGAATCTGCACTATGTGCTTGATATTAAAGATGATTGTTGGCCTAGCAAATGTTACAAATTCTTTAATAACATACTATAATAATATTACCATATTTATTTTTTATTAAAACCCTTTCCAACTTCAGTGAAAGATACTGTAGTTGGAAGCAAGAGCTTACAGACTCTCATATGCTGTCATTCATTCATTTTAACCACTATAACAGGTGTGATCTGCCATGATGCTCCTCTATGAAACAAAAATATTAACACTTATTTTTCTCAATAGGAACTTAGCTCTGGGTATTGGAATTCAGAATTTCCCTGAAGGGATGGCAGTTAGTCTTCCACTGAGAGGAGCTGGTCACTCTGTGTGGTGGGCCTTTTGGTGAGTAGTACTCTCTGACTTTTTGTGAAATCAAGAAAGTTTACTGTTGAGTAACTTCCAGCTCTGAATTACAGTATCGAGGAAAATACACATACTACTATAAAGAAAGAAATTTCATGAACTTTTACTGAACCCTTTCCCTGTGGCTATATAATTACTAGGCACCCCCTGTGCAGTAGGATATAGGAAATTAAATATAATGTGTTTATCATAATTAAATTGTATAAATAAATAAATAGAGTAGTACTCACTCACACTCAATATTATGTCGGTCTCGTCAGGATACAGGCACCCTCCCTGTAGGTGTTACGTAATAACATGTGCTCTGGTTCCGGATGTAGCTAAGTCTGACTTATGCAGTAATTAATTATCGATATGTTTCATTTGATAACACCCCTTGTGCAAATGTTTGATCATTTTAAAGTAATTTCTTCTTTTTTTTCTTTTGGTGTTGTCTAGGTACGGTCAGTTGAGTGGGATGGTGGAACCCATTGCTGGAGTATTAGGTGCATTGGCTGTGTCTTTATGTAATCCAGTGTTGCCATATGCTCTAGGATTTGCTGCTGGGGCTATGATATTTGTTGTTGTGGATGACATCATTCCAGAAGCACAAACAAGGTAAGAATTGTGATGCATAGATTTAGATAATGCACTCATAACTAAATTTTTGTGACTTAGGTATCTTAAGAGCAACTCTTTATAATGTATTTGTGGTATTACTCAGCCTTCTATTGTGCTCGAGGAGATACCATTATTTTTAATGTTTATAGTGTATGGCATCTACTGTATTCCGTTTTGTTTCTTCACCACCAGGGACAACGGGCGATTAGCGTCAGGCTGGTGCATTGTGGGCTTCATAGTGATGATGGTTCTGGATGTTGCACTTGGATAGCGAGGGCTGTGTGATACATCTCATCTTGTTAGTCCACTAGTTTTTTATACATTGATTTTATTTTGATTATTGAACTGTTGCCAACTAGTCTGTTACTGTTAAAAGGTTGAGGGGTTTTTCTTAGATACATCAAGTGCATTTGCTTTGTAAGATGCAAGATGTGTGTATACATATTGTGTACCTACACTTCTGTGCATGTACATAAACACACATACAGTACTGTACATGCATATAGGGAGTTTTACCAATGTTTGTGGCTCTCCTGCATTGTGTTGACACCATGAGTGCATGTAGCTTTAGCTAACTTAAAAATAAAGCCTGGCCACTTCAATGCATCTTCAGGGATTGCCATAAATTTGGCATTCAACGTGAAAAAGGATGAACCAAAATTTTAAGACAAAGACATACTGTCTTTAGTTAAATGATTTTGAATTTACGGTAACTACAAAAGAGACAATGTGTGACCAAAATATTTCTAAACAGGTCAGTAACATTTATAGTTTTATTTTAAGGTTGTAAGGTGAGAAATTAGTAAAATGCTCCCTGAACAAGTTGTCTTGGTTGCTCTTAACAATGTAGGGGATCTGATTGAAGCCTTTATCATAGCTACAGTCTTGAGAATGACTCCAATGGTTGCTGTAGCCAAACCCATGGTATAACCAGTATCATACACTCATCCATCTCCACTCATCTTATGACTTGCAGTTTTATGTCCACACCGATGCCTTTCCTTGACTGCTAGGGCACATTACCAGCATTAATACTTGCAGGTTTTTTCCAGACATTATTTGCAATCTAACGTCATAATTAATTTCCACAATGCACCCTAATCAGAAAATTTAAATTTGTCGATAGATTTACAATCTACCACCTATGTCCTCACCACCTTATCATGCAACGATAACTTTTTTCAACTACAGGGTAATCATGAAGACATTGGCACCTTATATTTTATCTTTGGAGCTTAAGCAGGCATAGTGTGGACTTCTTTAAGACTGGTAATTCGTGCTGAATTAAGTCAACTTGGTAGTCTTAATGGCGATGACCAAATTTAGGACGTAGTGGTCACAGCTAATGCTTTTGTCATTTTGTTTTTGTTTTTTATACTCTACTGTAGTTAGGAGTTAGTGCCACAGTGGGGTAAACACACACCTTTCCGAACCAAAACATTCAAAACTGGCTGAGGCAGGTAAGATGTATAAAAGAATTATGTAAGATGTGTTAATGAGTGTTTTAATGAGAGGCATTGGAGGTAAGTCTAGAGAAACACCATTGTGAACAGCTCCCTCATCAGCATCAAACTGCCTTAAAATATCCAATTTCGTACCCAAGGCAATTATTTTCCTGGTTTTCTTTGTGCTACACACTGTATTGTTACTTGCTGGGCATTTCAGAGGCATGTTGTTGAGAGTCTTAACCAAAGAGCATAAAATCATGCATATTTCTGCATTGTACGCATTGCTCTGACCTCACTAACTGAGGCAGGAGCACTTCTTGGGTCCTAAAAAAGAAACAATGATAAACAGGGAGACTTTAAGCAGGGACCCCTTGTAATAGTGTCTTCTAACACAGTATCACAGCTTTTGTCTTCATTTGAAGACTCCTATTGTGGAGGTTTTGGAATAAAGACAAAGGCTTGAGAACTCTCAGTTTTTATTTTGTTGTCATGTATTTTATAAATGCGCGCACACACACACACACACCTTGTTTAAATTAGCTGTGGAGTATACATTTAAATAGATTTGTAGGAGGATAGGAATAACTATCACATTCCATATTATTTAGAGTATATTTGCCAAAGTTCACATTAAAGATTGCTTCACAAATTTTTCCACTTTACTTTATAAAGTGGCCATACCTGTAGTATACAGTACAGTATAGTGGAATATTTGATAAATTACTTTTATTATGTAATTTTGTTTAGGATAAGCATATACTGTACTATGTGTGCATTTATTTATTTTTTATGCTGAGCTAACATAGTACAGTATCCTGAATTTTCTCAACAGTGAAGAAAATCCATTTCCAAATTTTAATTTTGTATGTGAATTTCTGATCATTACAAAAAGCAACAGTGAATTTAAATTATCTTGATAGGGGTTAAGATGCCTCCAAAAATGCCCAGTAAAAGAGATAAATATACTGTATACCACTGAAAATAAGATGAAAACTAAATACAGTGGTCCCTCGGTTAACGAACACAATTTGTTACAGAAGGTCGTTCGTTAACCAAATCCATTGTTGCAATGGGATATTGGGTAATTGGTTCCAGCTCACCAAAAAGTACATACAAAGTAAAAAAAAATGCAATAAAGTACACCTACTTTGAGGTGTGTATGTAGAAGGCTCCTGGTTGATGATGATGATGGGAATTAGAAGTGGGGGTGGAGGAGAAGGGAGAAGAGAAGGAAGTGGGGATGGAAGAAAAATCACATTCTAGGGGACCCATACTTGATGCCGTCGTTTCACCATTAACATTTTAAGTTCGCTAGGTGTAATTCAAGATTATTTTCTTTTAATCAACACTGCACTGTGCTGTATATTGTCAATATATTAAATATATTTCAGAATGACCAATAATTGTACAGTACTGTAAAAACGTAAAAATACTTTGTGTTCAAGAGACCCACAAGTAAGATGTTTCCTCCACTGAACAGAGACACAAACTGACGCCTTGGTGGGTGAGTGAAGTGGCTGATGGGCGCACCAAAAACTAGTTCCCTGTACTGCAATTATGTTAAATATGTGTTAAAATGACTAATAATTTTATTATAACTTGGACAAATATTGAATAACACAACCTTCTTGATATTTACTCCAATGGAAACGAATATAAGCCCTAGAACCGATTACTGTATTGGCGGACTAATCTTCCAGCTGGTGAGCAAGCCAAAACATGTTGACACGTTTTCGTAAGATTTCTCCAATGGAAACGAATATAAGCCCTAGAACCGATTACTGTATTGGCGGACTAATCTTCCAGCTGGTGAGCAAGCCAAAACATGTTGACACGTTTTCGTAAGAATTTCGTTAATCGAAATGAAGATTCTTATGGAAAGTAATTCGTTAACCGAGGCACTCGTTAACCGAGGGACCACTGTTTTGTATTAATTAAAAACTAAGGTGGATTTATTTTTTAATGAATTTAATGATGGTTATGAACAGAGGCTCAGGGGTGTAAAACTTACCGTATAGGAAAGATGATATATAGGTATTCAGACAAAGAATTTGCCCGAATTATATATTTTACATCATGGTGACTGACAATCTATCCCCATCCTAATAGCCGTTGCCTGTGACTTAACCACCAGGATTAATGTCTGGTCCCAGTGAACCTCAATTCTAATGGCCACTCATCCTTATGGTGTGGTTAGGGTATGCTATATTGGGGCCCATTTTATTTACAACCTTATACTAAATTTTTCAGTGTTACAGTTCATTGTGTACTTAGTTGTATCTTAAACTGTCTACTGTCTAACCCTGCTATGCAGTAGTTTGTGTATTTTTTCCAAAATCTTCTCCCATCATAATACTGTACATGTTAGTTCGAGACCTCCTCCATAAACCATTATCGTGGCATATTTTTCAGGAATGTGTCAGCTTGGTTAAGCCTTTGCTCTCTAACTCTCTCCTTTCAACTTATTTCTCTCTCTCTCTCTCTCAAGTGAAATTAGTAACCTATTACTCTATATTTGGGTCACATTTTGTCTCTCTCCCTTTGGGTTTGTGTATTTTTTTACATAACTGACTTGCCCGTCGCCAATACTGATTCAGAAAACAAAGAAATATCAAATTATTAAAGATGTTATGGTTTTGCATTCCTGTTATAATAAGGAAGATAATAAATTGTTGGCTCAACACTGTGACTGCAATGTTGTTTAGTTAACCCATGTGATGTTATGCACTGATCAATTGACTAAAAATAAGATACTAAGCCTAAGGAGATTATATTCCAATTTTCTAGCTTTTTTTCTTTTCTCTTTTCTGATTTATTGAACTAAGAGTAATGTTCGTTTATTTCCATTTGTAGTTTACCCTTTGGTTAATAAGAGTGATGTTACTACTGTACTTATGTTAGGTTACTTTGTCTATTATTGGTCTTAACATACCTTGTACTGTATTGCATGTACACTCGCAACAAAAAGTATCGGTGCATACTGTAGTGTGAACAATTTGAGACCAGTGACGAATAGGTATTGGGAAAGGCGAGTTGTTCCAGCCGTATGTTGGCAGCCCTGATTGTCAGCCATATATCAACACCTAGTGGAAGGTGGGGGGGGGGGTGGTTATGAGGATGCACTTACCAACCTTCCCGACATATCACAGTGTATACGTAACGTTTCGGAACTCGTCGATCTCACCCTGCACCGATACTTTTTGGTGCAAGTGTACAGTAAATACAAATTGTTACATATGCTTGGTATTGGTGAACTTAGAGCAAATATTCTACAGTATTTAGAGATCTTTCAAGGGAACATTGTAGGTGACTCAGTTATATGGATGTTTTAGTGGGTATTTGGTTTTTTTAAGTGTGTTGGTGTTGAATAGTTCTGTTGTAGTGTGTTAACACAAATCTAGCAACTGACAATAGATTAAATAATAAATAACTATTGTGACTCTTTGCATGTCCATCTGCCAACTAATCAGCTGCCTTGGTACAAACTGACACTAGGTCTTTGTTGCAAAGTTCAAGTGAAAGGACTATTATCTGATTTATCCTGTCACTTTCTGCCACCTATCTTCCACTATTCTTTCTTCCTACACATTCATCCTCTTCAATTAAGATTTTTGTACTATTGGTCCACCATACAGAGAGATGAGAGAGAAGTAAAGAAAATAGATGAAATAGATTGATGTGAATTTCTTATATTCTTTTGTTCACCTCATCTTCACTCGTGTACTATTTTGTACGGCCTTTGGGAATGGACTAAAGCTGTTTGACAGGCAAACACCATAATGCAAGTCATTATATTCCATATGAGGATATTTGTCCTGATTAGAGTTTTTTCTCCTAGTGTTTAGCTGGAGATCATTTGTTTTGTCTTTAATTGGTAGACAATCAGCCATATAATTTATGTTCGGCATAGGGAGGTTTATTGTAAACAATTAAATTGTTTTGTTTGAAATGTCATTTTCTTTGCATAATACTGTACTGTATACAGTATTTTTTTTTTTTTCAGTTTACATCTTTACAGGCAAAAATAATTGCTAACAGCAAATTCAAGATAGAGAAGAGGATACTATGGTAAACTATAGGCAGGTTGTTATCTTATGAGTGATATGACTATTCTTTGTATTGATGTATTTTTGAGAGGAACTTTTAATTTATGTACTGTATTTATCTTTATAAATTTATTTATTTATGTATATTTCTTTATTTCCCATGTTAAGTTCATAATTTTTACAATCCGAACAAAGTGATTACTTACCTTATTACAAATAAACCTTGATATATTGATAGATTGCATTCCTGAAAAGCTGTCCATAAATTGAAAAGGATTTTCATATTCATTACTATATATTCCTACAAAAAGGAACAACTGTGACACATAATAAAATGACACTAATCATGTTTTAAACCCATTTTAAGGGAAGTATTATTTCAAATAATTTATAAAAAAATTGTACAGTACTAATGAGTTCATCCAAATTAAAATGTATTACTATCACCATATTGGCTTAGTGAAGTATCACTGCCAGTGACATTCTCCTCTAGTGTTGTTGACAGTCTTCTTGCAAATGTGCTAGAGGTTTACCTGCTGTGTACTCTAACAGAAGCACTTGGTCATTAACTACTGTTTCTTATCCAGTTGTCACTTAAACATACAGTAATACTGCTGTATAAGGTATAAAACAATCAGCTTACCCCAATTAATATCTTTATGTGCAATACTCCACAAACTCTTCACAAATGAAGCTACACACATCAAGGTTATAGATAACACTGTTCATTGACCTTGTTCAGTACATGAAGCTCCATATACCTGTGGCAGTGCCTCGGCATCTCTGGTGTTATGAAGAAATAATGAAAATGTTTTCATGACTCGGGGGATTTTCACCTGTAAATTGATGCAGTAGATAAAAAATAAATAAAAAATCTGCACATTGGATGTCTATGAATTGAGGTGTACTATACCTGTAAATGTTTTGAGCCAAATCTAAGATTAAAGCAGTTACCCTTGAGTTTACAGTAGTATGTAGTTTTTGTAGCCTTGCAGGTCAAAATATCTGTTGCTATTTATATCAGTATCATCATCATTGTTTTACAGCCATTTTCTGTGCTTGTGTGGGTTAGCCAAGAAATAGTCCATTAAAATTTTGATGGCTCTTATGATATTACTATTAGTGTACACCTGTGTTCTGTATCATTTGTTTTTGAAGACCAAGCATTGTCATAAGAATTATTTGTCCCCTTCCCTCCAAAAAAGGGTATTCAACCAAGGTAATTATTAAATCTGTTAATTATCATTATTATTATTATTATTATTATTTCTTTTTTTAAGAATGTATTATGAATACAATACTTTGCTTCTCAGTAGTTAAAGCATCCAAAATTGAGATGGTGCACTTGCCTCTCACCATTGTGTTCAGAGTTCAATCCCTTGGTTGGATGTGAGAAGGGTATTATCCAGTGTGACCCTACTAAACATCAAAGGTTTTCTCTGGTTACTCTAGTTTCCTCCTTTAATAACACTGGACAATAAAGGACAAAGTCATCAGGAACAATGGGGGATTAAAAAAGTTACTGGCCTATAGATACCTGAATGGGTAACAAATCATAAGAAAGCATTGTTTATTTTAATCACAAGAATCAAATGTTGTATTTTCTCTCCAGCATATTAAATTAGGGTTTGTCAGTTTTTGTCACTGCCAACCATGCCTGAACATTGCTTGGTTTCATTTTCAGTGCTTTTCAGTATGATAATAATTATGGATATTGGCACACCTGATCTAGAACCTGTCCTGGTGACCATACTACCATGCAAAAAAAAACAAAAACAAGAAGACGAAGAAGCAGTAAGGAGAAAAAAGGTGGGAGGGGGTAGGTGGGAGGGGGTAGGTGGCAGGGGGTAGGTGGGAGGGGGTAGGTGGCAAGCTGATAAGTTCACATCCAACTCGGGGCCTTACGAGGGTCACAAATCTCTCTTTTTAAACACGTACTTAGTTATATCCAGTCACAGGGCGGAGGATGCTGGGCCCAGGCCCTGTTTGCAAGACGAACATTTGTAACTACAGGACTCGAGTATTTCAATAAATTTCATAGGCTTTAGTCAGTGCCTAATGTGCCTATGGCATAATTCAGCCCTGCTGTGGGGCCTCCAGGAGTTGTTATACAAGATATAATGAAGTTAATGACATCAAGAGGAACCTGACCACTGCAAGCTGCTCAGCACACAAGGAACTGCAAATCAATAGATCAGACAACAAGCACCCAGATGGAATCATGCTACTCCCCTGGAAGGATGGTAAGCAGCTATACATGCCTTTGGAGCTTCATTGAATTTACAAAACCGTCACAGAACTTACATGGTTTTAAAAATCAGACTTTGTTCAGTGACGACTTTTTTCAAATTTGTCTTGAGTGCGGAGGTTACAGTATACAGGCAGTCCCTGGGTTACGAACGGGTTACATTCCTGGACCCTGTTTGTAAGCTGGAACAGTGTTAATGCCTGAGTTTAGATTAGGGTAGGTTAAAGCACAACCCTCTCCTTACAAAACAACAAGAATGTCCCATACATAACATACAGTACAGCATTGTACTGTATAATATAAATACTGTAAATAAAGTACTGTAATGTAAAAAATGGGATTTTACTTACAATTCTGCCCCTAAAAGCAACAGTAATATCCTATACTTAAAAAATATTGTAATATTAGTAGTGATGTTAATATATAATAAAGTACAGTAATGTGAAAAATGGATTTTTAATAGGAATTTTTGCAATGAATTTATTGGAATTCCACTTGTAAGTCTGGTGTTCATAACTCGGGGATTGCCTCCTTGTTTTCTAATAGCAGAATTGAATAGGTTTGTCAGTCAATGAGTATAATTTTGATTGGAGTAAACTCCACAGAACTTTTCCCTATGTTCCACAAAGTCCGAGAAAAATTAGTATTTATAGTGTGTATCCAGGTGAATGAATGAATTTTTGTTAGTGTATGTATTATACAGTATACTGTATATAAACGAATGTCGAGTGGTGATAGTGTTGTGTGGAGAGAAGCGAGAGACCGGAAACATTGACCAATATAAGTTTGAGGTAACGTATAATTTAAGCAGCTTCCCATCCGGTGGACATCTTTTGAATGAAATTGGCGCTGGCAACTTTTTGCGTAGATGTGCATCTCAACTGTCCTTTTGTTTGGAGAAAGTGGTGTCTTAATATTTACTCAAACTGTATTATTGGCGGAATAGGAATAATTAACCATATTATATGTATACTGTACAGTATGTGTGCTAATTCATTCGATATGAATTATTAATGTCCTACAAGACGACAATATTTAGGAACTCTACATTTATTTTGCAACAATGTTTAATACGCAATGTAACAACCAGCCGGTGAAATCTGCTGAATATTATCACGACAAAGTTAGTATTCACATACATTCCAGTATGTGCAGGTCTTATTATGATTACAATTAAATTCTATAATGCATAAAGACGAATTCAAAGACATTCATAAAGGCAGATTGATTAGAATCCCATTTTTAAAGTTAAAGATGTTATAATTTGATACTTTTCACTCTTGATACTCCTAATATAGACGTGCATTAATGACTTACAACATTCCAGTGTTCACTTTTAGCTAATCTATATCACAAAGCCCCATAAGCAATATTTTCTCTCTTGTTTTCCTCTTATGATAACATTGGGTGATTATCACCATTATTAACTTAAATTGTGATGGAAGAATGCAGGAGATGCAGAAATTAAATGTCTTGCAATTACAGATGCTTTAAACATTTTTATTCAGAATTTCAAGGGCATGTGCAGATATAATGTAAGGTACAATAATTCTCATGTGACAGTAGCATTATAGAGTTGGAGTTTTAACTTATATATTAAGAGAAATACACCTAAAAACTACATGAGTTAATTGCGTAGTGTCAACAAGAGCCAAAGCTGTCTGCTAACTTCCCAGTCAAATGAGAACCATTAATACACGCGGTTTATTTAAAGTCAAAAATTTATTTGGTACTTAACAGGAGTCAAATTTAACGAGTGTAAATATTAAATGCTACAATAATTTTTATACAAAGAACATTTTAATTCATCACCCAGCTTAAATAGATGTATAATGGTTTATATCCCATTGTAAATTAACTCAGCTCTGGTCTATGAGTGTTCATCTCGGTATACTGTGACCTTCATTGTAATACACCCGCATGTATGATATGAAATATAAATAGAGGATCATTTAGGAATAGCATTTAGATGTTTAAAAATAAAATAATACAGGTAAGAGGAGGAATAAATTAAATGTTAAGGTTCCCGTTCTCCCTCACCCTCCCCAAGTTACCGCCATTTTGTTTTCGTGTTGGGTATTGACTTTCGCTTCTTCATGACTATTTTAGTAAGTTCACATCATTAAAGACATACTAACCTGACCAATAGGCCTTTTTCACACCCATCAATATAGTTGGGGCGAGAGTGTGGTGCAGAAAACGGTCTTAAAAGTGTTAAAAAGCGATCAAAGTGCGAGGTAACAAAGACAGGATGTTTCCCTAGTCGCCTTTCAAAACAAACGGTTTCCTGGAGGGACGGAAATGATTATATTACTCCTGGTCAGTTAATGGGTTAATAGTGTCAGTTGCACAAGACGGTGTATAGTGGCAGGGTAAAAGATATTATTGGTTACAAGTGGAAGAAGAATTAAGTGATGGCCCGGACACCTGAGATGGACCATAATAAACACAGGGGGACACACAAGCCGCGGTGATAATTATTAGTTATCCCTCTTCCTTGTCTCTCTCGTGTCCCTCCTTAAACTACATCTGACGAGTGTTGACAAGTAACTGGTTTGGTTCTAAAGTGAGTTGTACATTAGTGTGTGTTGTAAGTGTTGGGTGGGTAGGGTTAAGGGGGTTGATGCCAGCCGTCCACAACACCTATCCTGCCTTATACAGTAAAGCAGGAGTTTGTCAGTTGTGTACCTTACTGAAAATAGAGATGGGACAAGAATATAACCCAATATGTCCTTGAGAATGTTGATAGTAAATATTTGAATACCACATAACACATGTTTATTCCACTGTAGGGTCAGGGTGTTTATGTGTAAATGGATAATATTAACTTAATAATTAAAGTTGTTATTTATTTATTATGTATACAAGACTATATTTATATACATTTAATATATATGAATAAACTCAAACTATATAATTGCTTGACACATGAAATTTAAACAGGTATTCTTCCTGTGTTTATGGATTACTAGATGTATCAGCCGTGTTTATGGTACTTGTTAGAGAGTTACTGTAGTTTGTGACACAGTAAAATATGAATGTAAACTTTATAATAAGGTGAACAGTTATCATACTAACCTAGACATTTATTGTTTATACCAAACACATTTACTTAACCAAACCTGAAGTAGAATTTGTTAGGTATTTGTCACATTGGTTAGGTTAGAAGGATAACTGTTTTACCATGTAAACTTTGTTTGTATTCCTCCATGTGTTGTAGACTATACTGTAGTGCAGCTTGGTGATGTAAACATTCTTTTCTTATTTCTAAATTTAGTCGAGTTTATGAAGCAGGTCACCAATTTATGTTTGGAATAGTTTGATGGGATGTTTGGTTAAATGCAGATTTTATAGTCTTGTGAGGACAACAAGGAAAAGTAAAACTTGAATTCCTGAGAATTGTGTTCAATCTCCATAGGAAGCAGAAACAACATTCCTAGTGAGGAATACATCTTTAGACCATTTATGAAGACAATACCGGTACTGTACATGTCATCTGCTATAGAAGTGGTTAAGAGTTGAAGGAGTGTGTCTATGTACAGGACTGATCTCCTTTTAAGGAGATGTAATGCAGGATTTTCATGAACTATGTTTGACTTTCTTGCTCTTCCATCAGCTTTATATATACAGTATTTTGTGTATTAAAGTAAATGGAGCGCCTATATAGCTGGGTACTGATGCCTCAGCTATTTCATATAGTAACAGCTTGTGAGGCCAGGTACCCTGGTTAATACAGTTCATATTGTTAACCAATTCTAAACCACGCTGCTATTATTTTATTTTTTTTACCTGGGTTGCAGAGTACAGTACAGGTATACGGTATTTATATGCAGTATATAATATATCGGTAGTATTCCAGTTCCCAGTCTGGTTGTACTTCAGTTATTGTTTTCTTTCTTTTTGGAAAAAAAATAATTAGAATTGAAGGTTAGGTATACAGTAGTTTCCTTTAAAGTTATATTTCACTAAGGACTACTGGAGACCTCTGGTATTATACTTGTGTGGTTATTTCCTGTGATGGGTCAGATGGTAAAATAGCCTGCAGTTGTATATAGCAAGGTTGTTTATTGACAATATATACTGTACCTAAGCTAACTTTAATCTAATTTAACACAGTTATAGGTTAGGTAAGGTATGTCATCAATTATAACAATAATCAACCCTGCTGTATACAACTGTTGTCTATTTTACTCTCTGACCCGGCTCAATAGTCACTTCCATTTCTTTATACAAGTTGCCGCTGTTTATTTAGCAGTAATTGGGAACCAAGGTGTTAATCAATTGGCAAATTGTGTTCCAGGTTCATGGTTCACCAGTGCAGTTGGTCAGTTGTCAGGTCGTATCACAAATCAATTTGTTAAATAAATTCACACCTAGGTGGCCTTAGGTACAGCCTTCCTCAAATATGAGAACTACCATACTTACTGTTTTATAGTGATGCTGATTCGTTATATAATTATTGGCACAAATTGTCGTTGTGTGTTGACGTTTGAACGTTTTTAATGGCTTCAACATGAAGAATAAACCATATACAATACTGTACAGTATATTGTTGCATTTATTTTGTATACAGTATTTGCAAACATAAATATACATTTGTTTTCAATGAGGTTATGGTTCTTTTCTTTTCAAAGTCCTGAGTAGACTTATTCTGCAACATGACAGCAGGATCACCATTGGTTTGTACCAATATGCATGTTTTTAGAGGTGCCGATGCTTATTAAAGGCTGTTCATGAAATGTACTCCCAGTATTTTTTTGTATTATACTGTAATTTGTTTGTGTATTGCCTATAACATTATATGTACAGTACAGTATACAGTACTGATTTAGCTCACATGGCTATTGCTTCTGCCAGTCTTATCAGAGTTTTTGTGTGGCTGACCACAGAACTGCCCTATCCACATACTACTGTGCAGTCCTGTAATGGGAACATTGGAAAGACAGTCATGGATTAATTCATGTTTGTTGTAATAAAAGTATCTTTCTTCTGTTTATTTATTTATTTATTATACTTTTGACATTGAAATCATTTATCTTGTTAATACTGTACTTTGGAAGAACTTGTGTAGCTGGGTACCTTGGCTATTTAACTCAAGAATTTGCATAGCCAGGTGCACCGCTCTCACAAGATGTACTACAGTATATGTTATGTTTATGTTTAACTGGTGAAGTTCTATACATGGTTTTGGATTTTGGATATAACAAAACAAGTTAAAAATGCTGGAATCCTTTTTTTGTTTATTAAATCAATAATATTGTCACAGCACATAACAATACCAGAATAATACCTGAGGTCTCCAGTAATCTTTCTTGAAATATTACTTTAAAGGAAACTAGACTTAACCCAACCTACCTAATGTAACCTTCACATAGGGAACTAAAACACTACAGTACTGGGTAAGAAAATACATAAAACTGATAGTTATCAGTGAGGTGAAGAATTAGTTGACAGTATTAACTGTACTGTACAGTACCTGTATTATACAGCTAGGCAAGCTGTTACTGTTAAACAGCTGGGATACCCGGCTCCGTAGGCACTCCGGAATACTACATTAGAGACTTCCCTAGCTGTGAGATACCTTGTGATGCTGCTGAAATCAAGAAAGCTTCTTGGGTCCAGATTACCAATAGGGTCAGTGGATTTGACCTGGTTTTGTGGGTGCTTCTTATTGTTGCAGCTCAGTCTAACCAGATTTCCTGGAAACTTACCTAGTTACTTGGGCTCATGTTATTTATACTGGAACCTGAAACTTACAAGTTATTCATGTTTATAGATTTAGTTATTCTATTTTAGAATAACTGAATTAAAAGTAACTTTGAGTACTGTATAGCAGATCAGAAATATTGGTACAGTATTCTCACTAGCTACCCATTCCTAGCCCAATGATTTCAGGGGCAGGGACGCTACTCGTTCCATATGTTTGTGTACTGTACATGTACAGTACTTTTCATATCTCCTTTGTTTTGTAAAGTGGCAAGGGATCCTTCCAGTCTCTCCTCCCAGTCCTTGATCAGGTTCATCATTGCCATGTAATGTATATCCATAACGACCTCATTTGATTAGGTATAAGTACCAGTACACTTGGAAGGATTTTCTCAGGTTTTGTTTAAAGATTTTTGGTGGTCTGCTCAATTTGCCTCTTGTATTTTATGGCAACAGGCTAAAATGTTGACATTTAGTATTCACACTTACGTATCTGAACATGCAAACTGCTTCTTTTGGGGACTCATTAACACATTTTAACCTTCAGTATGTAATGATTCAGCATGATATGTAATCCAATACTTGTACTGTATCTCTGCCAACTTATAGTTAATAGCTAAATTATTTTCCACTAAGGCTAATGATTGAAGTAGATCATTTATGAATTGATGGTTCATTTGCTTCCTTGTACAGTATTGCCACTTTTTCTATTGACAGCTACAATGGTACAGTAATTGGAGATAGCCTAATATTTTTCACTTTACAATATGAATAAAAATTCTGACCATTTGTTGTTATATTGACAGGCAACATGGTAATTAGGAGTACCATGAAGTGATCCCGTGCTCTCGTATGGAGCATCCAGATCCATACAGCACCATGTCACAACCCTCATCTGATAAGAGCAGAGATCCCTACCGCTCCTCATATGCAGAACATCAGGTACATCATGCAGTGTATGCAACAGTTTACAATATTTTATGAATTGGAAATCCTGAAGCTATTGTGGCAGGGCTGGAAGAATAATGAAACACTGATGGCTTATTTGTAGTTACTGTTATAACAGTGTAAATAAGTGTTAGAGAATAATAAAATAAGTTAGTAAAATGAGTAAGGAAACTAGTTGTAAAAAATTGCATTAATTTATTTCATTGTTACCAATTAAGTACCCCTGTACACAGTTTTTTTTTTTTTTTTTTTTTTTTTTTTTTTTTTTTTTTTTTTTAAACAGCTTTGGGGCTTTTATTAAATGAAAGACATTCCCCTGAATGATCAAAGTTAAACCAAATCACTGCACAAAATGTGTTTGGTGCCACTCTAAGAGAACAAATACATTATGGGAGGATGCTTGTGTGCAGAAGTGATGTGCAGTACACCCACATACTGTACTGTTCATTTTCCCACATTAAAGTACAGTATACAAATTCTTGTGTATTGCTAAATGTGATGGTATATTTAAAAAACATTTGTGTTTGTTTGAGTGGAATGAATGTTCAAAACACTGAAACATGGTCATAAGATATAGCTAATCTTTTTATGAGCAGTTGTTTGGATGCTTGAAAACTGAGTATTGCCTGTGCAGTACTTATGTACTGTACTGTAATAAGTTTTTGTAGGTTAAGGCTCATGTATTAAATGTTGAAACCAAATTCCTTTAAAATTCTTGTTGAAATATATGAGAGGACCATTTGGTATCCAAGATTTGATTGTTTTTATCTTAATTTTAATCTTTGTTAATATTTCTGTTTCACTACCATACTGTTTTATAAATCTTGTGCTCCATGCAAAACCTATACAGTCCCATCCATTACAGTTCTGGCTTATTTCTATGAATGCCTCCAATTATTCACATCCCCCAACCAGACTTACCACTTAAAAATTTTGATGTGTGTGTACTATATATATAAATATCTACATTGAGTATTTCCTGCATTCTTGGTATCTTTTTCTTCTGTGTTAAGACTTCTTTGTACTGTATGTCTATACATCTTAACTGCTTATCCACCAGCTCTGTGTAGGATTCAGTCATATGTTTTTTCACATGCTGCCTAAAACAGAATTAAAAAAAAATAAATCCTGGCCCATGATTACCTGGAAAATATCTTGCACACAGCAAAGAAACTTGGTAGACTTCTGCATATGTATATTTGGATTACCTGCATAGATTTTCTTGCTGTTTTATTGTTTCTGCAACATTGAAGCCAAATGTTAGTATGTTTACAGATACAAATTTAGTTTCTTTCTGATTTATTTTTTTTACCATATATCTGTTACTTCCATTTTGTAAAGATGCCAATGGTGGACAGGAATAACATTGTCACTTACTGTAGATGTTTATTTTATTTTTATTTATTCACATATTTTAATATTTTTTAGGATATGATGTTAAGTGAGGATGAGGAGGAGAGTGCTACGCTGGCTGAGCCCATGACCCTGGAGGGGGCAAAGCAGTTAGCACAGACGTCGGTAGTAGTGCCAGCTACGACCCCAACTCCGCCAGCAGCCTCCTTGGCATCAGTGTCCCCTCCACCCCATCCTCTCGTCGCTCCTCCACTAACATCTCCTCACCACTCGTCTCATCATCACCATCACCACCACCATCACCATTTGACGTCCCCTCCACCTCCGCCGCCACCGCCGCCGCACCACCATCACCACCACCTGACTCCGCCTCCACCACCACATCACCACCTCACTTCACCCCCACCACCACACCACCACCCTCATATCACACCCCCACTGCCTCACCATCATCACCACATGTGGGGACCGCCTTCAGTAGCTCATGAAGAGGAGGAGGAAGAGGAAGAGCCCCAGGATTTACCGTCAACAGTAGATATACAGGCAATTCGAGTGAGTTATTTTTTTTGTGTTAGTTGTTCCCTCTCAATTTTAAACATGACCAAGCTTAGTTTGAAATCTTACCTTCACATATTGTTTAAATGGGGATGAAACACACTGAAGCATTAGCTGACACTCATGTTTAATAGATCTGCAAATACTGTACAGTCACATTATGGGAAAGATTTGGACAGTACAGTATATTGTTATTTCCCAGCTTTATTGTATGTGTTAACTTTAGGTTTATTGACAGCTTGCATGGAAGACGTTTGAGAACATGAAACACAGAAATAAGATGTGGAAGTGAAAGAATTATTGGGCAGAGAACAAGTCAGGGTTGCACTTGTGGTATGGACACTGAGGGATTGAGAAGTGAAAGAGTGGATAGTATGAGATAGAGGGTAAGACCAAGCAGGAGATGGAAAGAAGTGGTGAAGGGTGCAACACAAGTGAGGGTAGACATCCAAGAAGCAGTTGCATGTGTGAGTGCGTAGAGCTTGGAGGCGAGTGATTTTTAGGGAAGCGTGTACACTATGTGAAGTGACAATAATAAACCAGATTTGGGACTTTTCAGTGGAAGGGGAATGCAATTGTAGAAAACATCTTTTATGGCAGTAAATATGAATGAAGAGAAAATGAGTGAGTGAGTGAGTGAGTGTGTGTGTGTGTGTGTGTGTGTGTGTGTGTGTGTGTTTGTCTATGCTCTTGTTTGCAGCCACCCTGCATAAAATTGGAAATGGCTTACAAGAGATTATAAAAATATATGTTCCACTGTGTTATGTACTGTATGCATTTTAACACTGTAATTCTTTACAGGACTCTCCGTCCCCCGATCATTCTAAAGGCCAGTTGATGACAATAAATGAAAACTGGGACAGTGTTGAAGATCAAGATCAAGGTGATGAAGACTCTGATGCTTATGAATCTGATACTGATGGTTCTGAATCAGACTCAGACTCGAGGCTCAGTTCCAGGTCTCATTCAGTGTCGAGGGAAAGTATTAAGTCTCGTTCTGCATCACGATCTCCTTCTCCAACCAACTCCAAGTCAGATAGTGGGAGTCAGGTAAATTACATGTGATTACTGTATAGGGTTTTAATATCTTAATGATGAGCTTTTTTCACTGTACAACAGATCAGAACCAACAAAGAGTGATCCATATTTTGTTGTGTTCATTACTCTCTCTCACTCATACCTTTTTAAGCCTCCCAGCTCTTAATGGAGGAAACAATGCTCTCTTGAGATAGATAACAATCCATCAAAGATTTTATATTTATTTTATTTATAAGTCTTGTTATTATCACTTGTTACAGAAATTATTAATTCTTTTACAACTTTTCTCCAGTATAATGTGAGAAGGCTGTTGAAGGAATTCTCTTTTTTGACATCCATTTTCCATTTGTTGGTTTTCTTGTGAACAAAGTTTTTCAGGCACTGTAAAGCTCAATGTTGTTGCCTTGATAATATTAATTTTTTTTTATCTTTTCCTGACTTAGTTTCTTGTATTATGTGAAATATTTTGTGTACCATTTCCAGGTTCTCTTAGTTTCAGTTGTAAAAGTTGTTAGATTTAGCTTTTGTTGAAGTTCTGCTGTTAATTGCCCTAAATCTACTTTCAGGATTCTGATTCAGACAGTTCAGATTGGAGCGATAGTAGCTCCTCTGCGTCTGATGATGAAAGGAAGAAGGGGTACGAAGATGGAGACTCCAGTCCTATGAATAAACCGTTACCGAGAAGGAAGCCACAACTCACCGCACCAAAGCTAACTCTGAGTGAAGGGTTTGGGGGTGCAGGTAGAATAGATGGAAAGGTAAAAGGATCGGCACCATGTTCTCCTGGGTCCCCTATGCACAAGTCATCATCTCTTCTCTATGAAAAGCATAAATCTTCACATGCATTCACCTCATCCTCTTGTGATTCCATAGCAACTGTTGGGTTTGGAGTTGGTAAAGTTACCAAGATGCCCGTGTCAGAGGAGAAAGGCTCTGCCAAATCGAGTATTTTCAGTGATGATGAGACTAGTGATGGAGTTGATAGTGAGAAAACTAAAAATGTAAATAAAAGTGTACATTTATCAAAAACTGATGAAGTTAAACAATTACAGCCAGTGCCATTGCCTAAAGGGACCGATGATAGTTCAGTTAGAAATGAGGAAATACCAGATAATAACTCGCAGATAGTGAAAGAGACACTAGCCAGTGAAGCAGAAACCAATAGTGTTGTGACTTCTGGTCTTGTAAGTGAACCAAAGTCAGAAAAGAGTGCTCCAGTCCTCGAAGAAAATATCACTAAATCAAAGACCATTAACGAAAGCAAGCCCAGTGTACCTCTCCTTGGTCTGAAGTTGGAAGAAACGAGAACAATTTCCTTTCAGCCTTACAAGAGAGATAGTGTGTCGCCACCTGAGAGAAAGTGTGATCCAATAGCTAGATGGGATGATACTGATAAGGACAAAACTGAGGATGGGAAGAACATGCCATTGTCTGTAGCGGAATTGGAAGAAAGAAGGCGGGAAAAAGAACTGGAATTAAATCGTGAATTTGATCGTTTACTTTTTAGCACAAAAAACCTAAATTTACAACAAAGCGAACAAAAAGCATTAGTGTTGAATGATTCATCCAAAAATCCTGAAAAGGCAGTGAAAGAAACCACAGCCAAGTACAATAAGGTTTATGACTCCCCAAAATCAAGCAAAAACGCAGGCTCTGATGCAGCATCTCATAACAGCAGCTTACAACTCAACAAAGTTTCAAATGCCAGTAAGAAAGAAATAACATCAAACAATTCCATTGAGCACTGCACTCAGACATTTCATTTAGAAAGTGTCATGGATGTGAAAGAAAATGGCCAAGATAAAAACAAAACTAAGTTAGAAAAGGGTGCTTGGGAGGAGAAGAAGAAAGAGCCATTTAAGACCGACGAAAAGTCAAAGGAGTTTGTCAAGGAAGTAGTGGATAAAAAGGAAGCAGAGAAGGGTCATACACCACAGGACAGTAGTAGTGACAGGACATTGAATAAGGAAGTGGCCACAGAAAGAAAATTTAATAAGAATTCTGTGTTTGAAAATAAAAGCAGTAGAGATGTTGTAAATGAAAGAAATTCAAGTAAAGAATGCAGTGCTGATAAAAGAATATGTAAAGAGTTTAATTCTGAAAAGAATTCAAATAAGGACATAAACTTGGACAAAACCACTATAAAAGAAACAAATTTTGAGAAGTGTTTGAATAAAGAATCCAATTCGGAAAAAAGACCAAGTAAAGTTTCATCTGAAAAGAAAACTGTGAAGGAAGTGAATAGTGAAAAGAAATTTAGTAAGGAAGTCAATAATTTAGCCAAAAACAGTAATGACTCTACTGTTGAATGGAAGTTAACCAAAGAGATGAACCATGATAAACTGACTAAAGAAGTTGATGTTGATCAGAAGGTGAAAAAAGATCCTTGTAAAGAAGTTCACTCAGAGAAAAGATGCACAAAAGATAACGGCTATGATAAAAAGACGAGAACTGAAAATGGTGAGGACCGAAAGCTAAATAAAGATTCACATATAGAAAGGAAAGGTGGCAGAGATTCATCTCTTGATAGAAGATTAAATAAAGAACTTTCTCCCGAGAAGAAGAAAATCAAGGATGCTGCCTCAGAGAAGATGCAGAGTTTAGATATGCCAATACTTGACAGAAAAATCATTGAGGACTTGTCCATTGAGAAGAAATCAAACAAAGAGTCCACAGAAAAGAAACAGCTGAAGGAATTGTCTTCTGAGAACACAGTAAGTAAAGATAATAGTCCTGGAAAGAAACTTGAAAAGGATGGAACATCTGAAAAGAGACCAGGAAAAAATACTACTCCTGAAAAGAAAGGAAGTAAGGGAAGTACTGCAGAGAAGAGAACAAGTAGAGATTCAAATAAGTCCTCCATTTCAGAAAGAAAAAATAAGGTTGTCTTGTATGAGAAAATTAGTAAAGAAATTGTTTCAGAGAAGAAAGCGGGCAAAGATTCTTCTCCTGAGAAAAAGCAAGGAAAGGAAGAAAGAAAGCCAAGTAAGGATAGGAAACAAAACAAGGATTCTGTTAAAGATAAGAAAGTAAGCAAAGAGACGAATTCAGATAAGAAATTCACCAAGGAGTCTTCAGGGGAGAAGAACTTGAACAAAGTTTCTTCCTCTCCTGAGAAGCGAAGTAGCAGAGATGCTCATGAAAAACGCTTAAGCAAAGAAACTGTCTCAGATAATAAAAGATTAAGTAAAGAGTTAATGATTGAGAAAAAAAATAAGGAAATTATTCCAGACCAAAGATCCAGTATGGAATTTATTTCAGATAAAAGATGTGACAGAGAACCCAGGGCAGAGGAGAAAAATAAAGAACTCAACTTGGAAAAATTGTCTGGCAGAGAGGTAAGCCTCGAGAAGAAATCGAGAAAAGAATCTAATTTTGAAAGGAAACACAGAAGAGATCCTGGTTATGTCAAGTGCTATAGCAAAGAACAGTTCTTGCAGGGTAAATCTGATATAGATCCTGGTCTAAGAAGGATTTCTATCACTGAGCCTCTGTTTGAAAAGAAATTAAGTAGAGATGCAAATTTTGAGAACAAATCCATCATTGAGCTCAGTATGGATAAGGTATCCAACTCAGAGCCTGGTTTTGAGAAAAAATCCCTTAAAGAAATTGATTATATGAAAAGATCTAGTAAGGAGCATACATTGGAGAGGAGTGGTACATCTAATGAAAAATTTATACACAAATTGTCCAACTCGGAGAAGAAATCAAATAGAGATTCTGGTCGTAAGAGATCAAAGAAAAAGAAGAAAAGATACTTGGAAGAAAGTTATGAAGACAAAAAATACAGCCAAAATTCATATTCCTGCAGCAGAAGTGCTTTAAAAAGGGACTCATTTTGTGAACACTCAAATAATAAGGAACATTCTCCAAAAGTTAAAGATCAGAGTGAGAGAGGTGTTAATAATTCTAATGAAAAGTCTAAATTATACCGGATAAATAAGTTATTTGAAAATCATAATATTTTATTAAAATCGTCTAATGTTAGTTCATCCGAATCACATAAATTTACCCCAACAAATAAAACAAACCATAGCAGTGATATTTCAAGTGGCATTAATAGAAAGGAGGACAGAGAGACTAGTAGAGCAGACGCTGTTTTACCTCTGTGTATAAAGGGAAAAGCGGACCCAAGTGAAGAATGTGATAAACTGACTCACAACAAAAGTGCCGGTGAGAAAGCCTTTGCTTGTGTAAGACCAACTATAGCGGATGTTGTGAAAGGTAGAGAACGGAGAAAAAGCACGGACACTGAGAAGCATAGTGGTAGTGAGAAGACCAAGAGAGGGGATTCTTATAGGGAAGACACATCAACAGACAGCGAGAGTTCTGAGGAACTTAATGAGAAGGTGGATTTGGACACTGAGCAGACTCAAACCTTTTCTGTCAGTGAAAGCAATTTTAACCAGGTAAGTAAAGATACTGTAATGTATTTTAACAGTAAGAAAGAATGCAGGACATCAAATGAAGTTATTTTGGCCATCTTGCATTACAATGGGAAAAGGTTGGAGACTACAAAATGTTGATTTACCTGTACAGTACCATACTATGAAGAGATATATCTAAGACTATTGATTAAAGATTTGTCAAATATTCTTGGTGTCATAACTTTTCAGGCTTAAGCAAGTTGGCTTCCACTAGAATTGTTTGAGGAGGAGTTAGTCCTTCCGTGGATTTATATGCAATGCTTATAATTTTCAACTCCCACTGTGTATTCCTAGTCAATTAGAAGGCTCGGTGGGAGTTGATAGCTTTTTTTTGGATTTTAATTGCTGGGATCAGATTGATCTCTTCTCCCTTCTCTCAAATTTTTTGAGTTAGCTTGAAGTGGAAGTTGAGGGCACTATAGTTGTAAGGGATTTCTATAGTTATAATTGCCTTTTAACTGAGCAGATTATGGTCCCCCAACCCCCTTGCTTCACCTTGGTTCTTCACCGTAAAGCAGAGCTACTCGGCATTTTACAATTGAATCTGAGGGTGGGTAGAGACTTGGTCTCTTGCCCAAGTTCCCATTTTGCAATTTACATGCATTGATTTTATAGTTCCTCTGTACATGGAATTTAGAGTTTATGAATACAAAAAACTTGGGTCATGTGACTCATAGGAGCCTTTATGTTTCCAAACCACATGAGTGTTTCCAGCATCCTTCCAGTTGTGTCATTTGCAATGAGAGCTGACCATCTGTATTACTTGACATTTTGTTTGAAAATGATGGTCTGTTGTGCACAGGGAGGCATCAATTAATCAGAAAAGGGATTTAGGATGTTTCAGCCCCCCAAAACCCTAAAATAATGAAACTGGAAATCAAGAGTCAGTAGACTGGGATGGAAAGTTTAATCAACTTCAAGTGTTTGTAAAAAAATGCTACTAGCTTGTGTTTCTGTACTTCTTCAGCTTAGCTACCCAATACAGTGTACCACTGCCCACTTGTATTGTGAATGATGACCATTCTTTGAAAAGTAAGAACTCAAAAGACTTTGATGAGAAATATTATTTAATTGTGGCATACTGTAATGAATAAAATAATATAGAGTACCAGTACTATATAACCTTTGCTAATCTGATTACTAAATAGGAAGATTAAACAAGGCTTATAGGTTAAAACTACTGTACATATAAAGGCCTCTGTGTTTTTTACATATTTCAACAGAAAGGAATGCTGTTTTGTGGTGGTCAGTTAAAATTATCCCTCAAAGAAAATATGGAAGAGGTGAAACTAAGAAGTTGGGAAATTTTAAGGCAGGTGATTGACATGGATTAGCATGTAGGCTTATGGTGATAAGATTGTTGAATAAATGTATTACTTGTATTACAACAGTGTCTTATGTACCTTGCAGGGAAGATTGACGATGAAAATTGCGGCAATGAAAATGGCAAAATTTGGGCGAACAGGTTTACGGGAAGTGACAGGAGCAGCTCTGCCAACGAGATCCGATCTTCACACACCTCAACGCACGGAAAACTCCATGAGCATGTCTTTTAGTCCCTTTAGACGGCCTAGAACAGTACCCCAGAAACCTCAGTCGGTCAATGCCCAACCTGAAACTCACAAGGTAAAGACCGTAGCTGAAAGAAAATCCTACACAGATGCTCTACCGCCAAACGGCTCAGTTCGCTCCGTCAACTCCAAGGTCCATCGAAAAAAGGTAAAGAATATTTTTTTTTCTATTACTTCTTCAGTTTTAGTCAGCATTTAGACCTTAGAAATTGGAGAAAAAAATATTTGATCACTGGAAAATATTGAAAAACAACTTAACATAATTATGCAAAGGCCCTTTGTTGTTCTTTTTTTTCATATTTGTTTATGCTTTTGCCAACATCTGACTTTGATTGCCAGGATGATTTTGATCAATTTTATGTATTTTTTTTGTATTAGGTTCTCTTATAAATGTTGTTTAGGAGTCTCCTCAACTTTGATGCTGCGATTTTTGAAAAACTGGCTTACTGAAGAACAGTATACTGTACACTATAATAAACATGAAAAACTTATATGCAAAACAAATGCATGAAAAAAAAGAGAAGATAATTTACCTACCAATATTGATCTGTAGGTGGTGGGGTGTTTAAACATGTGGGGCTGTGCTATTTTAAAGTGGGAGGGAGGGGCCGACTGCCACTAACGGTGATGAACATGTGTCTTCCATAATAACAGAGGTAATTGAGTACCCTATTGAGTTTTTGGTAACATGATGAGGTTTATTGGGGCTTGTGATGTGCTTTAATAGTTTGGTCCCTAGCAGTATTGTAGATGTAACAGAGAAATCAGTAGATGACCAGTTATGATCTAAGATACTGTTTACTTACTAAAGCAGAGAGCTTGGTGTTGAAGGTTCTTTGATAAATGAAATAGATCCTTGTCTTCCAGATAGAGGGACTGTCTGCATTTACTCAACTTAGAAATTTAATGCTAATATTTAGGTGACAACTCCTTTACCGGATATCAGTGTAGGACTGCATGATTCACTTGAATGACTGTATGACATCAAGCAGTCTTTGAAAATGTAAGTACTGTATATCATGTGCTACATCTGAAATAATGAACTAGATTATGGGTTGTTTCATGAGGATGTGAAGAAAACTGAGGGGATTTCCTATAACTTTCATAAAAGGAAGAGCTTATGTTTAGCAGAGATTTGGTTGAAAGGATGCTGATTACAGTAGACATATGTCTCGAAGTAGGAATTAGATATTTATGCTTATGAGACACTACTGAATTTCACTTGCCTCTGATGTGCAAGCACATTAATTTGCCTGAAGAAGGGAAGGTGCCATAATTTACTTCCAAAGGCAAGAAGATTTTTTTTTTTTTTTTACACTTCCTCCTTTTGCCTCACCTTTGTGTTTCAGCCTTTTTTGTCTTTGCTTCTATGCTTTAATTTATCTAATTTCTTTCTTTTTACACCCCCCCCATTTTTTTTTGTCTTTCCTTCCCTTTGCCTCTTTTACACTTCAGATTTTTTAGGCAATATCTTTGCATCAGAAAGTATCTGTTACACTAGGTGTAAAGTGCATAGCCAAGTTGTGCACGAAGAATACGTGGGAGGAGGAAAAATATAAGATGAAAGCTTGTATCACTGTGCACGATGACTGATTTAGGTGACTTACACATTTGAAGATCCCAAATGTAATGAATTTTGAAGACCATGAATATTCTCCTCATCTATAGTGAGCAGGTAACAGTATTACGTGCAGAGGTTCTTGAAACCCAGCTGGTGGTAGATAATGTAATTCTATTACACCCTATATGTGATAGTAGCTCTAGACCAACATAGCAGAGGTTTACTTATCATGTTCTCTCTGATTGACCTGAGTGTCAAATTCTGATTCACCAACAAACCAAGTTGTGAGGCCTTGTGAGAAGACCCAGTGATTGAGTTCATGGCAATAACATTTTGGTCAACCATGACAGCCACAAAATTCCCCATCTCCCATCTCCCAAGGGGAAAAAAAGTTGCGGTGATGAGTGTACAGCTGATGCAGAACTGCCTGAGGCATAGCTGCATTCCAGGACTTTAGGGAGGGAGGGCGGGGGGTGGTAAGTGGAGATGCTGTTGGGAACCCTCAGCCTTTGTTTGCCATACTGTTGTAGGTTATTCCTATATCAGTGGATAAACTTAAGAAATATCTGCCAAAATTTTTTTTTTTTTGAGTTCCTATGTATAAAGCTCAATGTAGCTCAATGTGCTTACCGTATACATTCTTACGTAGTACAATGTGGCAGTTTTTCTCACCGTCTATATGTACACTGACTGCAGCATTCACAGTAACTGTGGTCTATTAGCATTTGTGTGTGATTTTTATTTTTTCTGTGCACAAACTTGTTATGATTAGTAGAGATCATTCAAGGTAAATGCAATACTATTAAATTTGTAGCCTGTCTTGTGTATCATAATTGTTTCTCTGAACTTGATTGAGAGTGATTTATGGTAAGTTTAGATTGTCATCTATCAGAAAGGTTGTATTGTTGTGGTTTAACCCTTAAATGGCAGTCATCATCCACTAAGTAGGGACAGCGGCCATCATCAGTGGAAGTTTCTTGTTCATTTCACTCTATTTTTGTGCAAGTGGGAGCAGAGCAGAGAATCCTTAACTGCTGGTTAGTGAACATTGTGCCTGGGTGGTTGGAAGACTAGGTGTTATCTCCTTCAATCTCTTACACTACAGGTACAGTTATTTAGGTTTAAAAATTTAATATCCTGTAGTAAAAGACAATGGAGAGGATAGGAACAGTAAGAGCTGTTCTTTATCACCTCTCAACTGTTTCAAACAACCATAAGTTTGGTGGAGTTGATACACCACAGAATATATACTTGTGAAAATTCTGAAGACTTTGTAGTTGAAAATCAGATTTAGTTTGATGTGAAATATAGCGAATGAGCTACAGTACAAACTTGCATTGCATTAATATGGAAATGTAGGATGTAGGCAATAACATTATGGAATCTGTTTGAAAGAAAGGAAATACAGTACATAATATTATTTAAAAATTGATTTTTTCCTTTATCTGCAATACATCTTGACCATTAATGATTAGCTAATGATTTTTTATGTTATAGCAAGTTGTGTTCAATTTTAGAAGAACACCTCAGGATCAGCGTCCTTGAGTTGAAGGTGCACATTTTTTATAGCAGCCATGTTAAATCTTTTTTCAAGTGCACAACATTGTAACTGTATCATAGGTAATGACAACTAAGAAGTCTGCAATTTTGATAACTGCTGTGCAAGAGCCTGAGGAGCATCTCAACTTTTAGTAACATGTATAGATATTAAATTCTCTAGGTCTCATGTTTGCTGGTAATGATAAAAGGTAACCATAAATAAAGCTGAGCCTCACTGTCTGAGGACGATTGTCAGTCAGCTGGTGCGTGATGGTGTTTGCTTCAGTGCCAACTCTCACCAGGTACTGTGGATGGATTATATAAATTGAAGCTTAACAATTTCAATGCTGCTGTCATTGATGTTGCAGTACAGTATTGTACATACTTCTAAAAAAAATCTGTTATTTGTTGACTTAGTTTAGGTGTTATTGCTATAAGGATAATTACTTTATTCTGTGGTCATGGAGGTCATCTTTTTAGTGTACATTACCAGTTTGGTGCAGACTTAACTAATTTTAATGAGCCAAACATCACATGGGTTCATAATTAGCAAATGATTAATGGCTCATTAAAATCCTTTCATTGCAGCAGGAAAAGTCTATAAAGAACAAAGGTGAATGATACGGTATGTTTAGAAGGAAAAAAATCAGCATATTATTCCTATAAAAGACACAAATGAAGCCTTTACGCCTAGAATGAAAAAAAAAAAGTTAAGTATCACACTTCAAAAGAATAAAACTTCTGTAAAACTAGACCTATGGGTGTATGCCACACTTAATATTTTGTTTGGCTAACGCTAGACAATTTTATTAAGCTCAGGTGACACTTTACCCAAGGGGTTAAGGCACTAGTCTCAAACATTGGTACAAAGTGGTATTTGTAAATGAAAGAAATTGTTTGTCCAATACTGTACAAGTAATCTACAACACTTCAGTTAGAAGCTAATGTCTTTCATCTTTTTAAATTTAGAAATAATCAGTTTTATAGGCCAGGAAGAGGACAAGACATGGGTCATCTATGTCCATAATATTTACAAGGATGACATATTCAATTTATAGAAAGCAGTTGCTAATAGTCTCATTGGTTTACAGTCTGAGGATTGTGTTGGGCAGTGGTTCTTAAAACTATTTGTCCTTTGCCCATAGATGACGATCTCTGCCCCCACCCCCCCCTTCATATCCCCTGCTACTCTTATGGTGCAGTTTACTGAATATTATTACCCTGCAATTCATTAAGTGATTTCAACAACATAAGAATGTGTCAAGGACTTAACCTCCTTACTTACCTCTGTTGGATATTTTCAAATGATTTATGATGTATCATTAGGTTCCACTTTAACAATGTCTCATATAAAAAGGAGGATATTGACGAAAAAAATAAAAACCTATAAACATATATTAAGTAAATTACAACAGACAACAATGGCTGATCAACACAGTTCAAAGCCGTTACAAGTCGGCACTGAGGTAACAGCAGTGAGACAGGGTGACTCATAAGCCACACGGCAACGGCTTGTCATACACACAGCTCACCGCCGCACACAGTTTACCACCACACACAGTTTAACGCCACACACAGTTCACCGCCGCGCACAGTTCACCGCTGCACACAGTTTACCACCACACACAGTTTAACTCCACACGGCTCCAACACACAGTCATCAATCCCAAAAAAGCTGTCGAGCCAAAAATACCTTATCGAACTTATTCTTATGATATATAAAATAAGTGTCCAGTTCATATTACATCTGATAACTTTAAAACTAAAACACAAAAACTTAGAGAGTAGGGTAGAAGAGTAGCTCCTGGCAAGGCAGCTCTCGGCTAAGTGACGGAACATGCCTGGCCAGCCACACCTCAACTCTGATCTGAAACAGTGAACCACCTCGAGATTCACAAGAAAATGAAAATACTATTCAACTAGGAGGTAATCCCTTCACAAACAAAGATATCTTCCATTTACAATTTTAGTTGATAATCCATGTGCAAAACAGTACAGAAAATATTTGCAGAGGTAACACTAGCAGGTACTCTTATGAAAAGGATTGT